TACTAGGAGTGACCTCTGGTTCCGTACTGTTACAGTTTAAAGGTTATTGTGGTTAACGGTGTCAAAAGCCTTACGAAGGATAACATAAACCTACAGGGATTTTTTTCCCCAAGAGAAATACATCAAGTCAAGTTTCCATATATCAAGTTAATAATTTTAATTACTGCATCATTTTGCATTTATGCGGGTCTCAAGACATATTGGCAAGAGCTAAGTATATTATGTTTTGCTAGATAGGTATAAAGTTACTTGTAGATTGGCTTTACAAATATTTTTTGACTAGGTGGGCAGATTCTTGGCTAGTTGTAGGCGCCCATGACTGACAAGGGCCCGATGAGGTACTTTAGGCAACAAGGCCATCAGTTAGTTTATTTTTAGTTTAGTTCATTTATTATGCACCCCATACCCATCTTGTGGGCGGTAGTGGAAAGGGTTACAGAGGCACATAATGGGCTCAGGGACTGAATGGCCATCAGAAACCACCGCACACTTCCGGCCGGCTTCCTGTCCTCGTCGAGGCCACTAGTGTTAGTGGCCCTCAGATAAATTTGTTGTGTAACACCAGTCATATCAATAGTAAACACCAGTCCCTCTCCTGTCATCCTGCGGCCCACTGGCCGTGTGCATCTGGTGGTCGGTGGAGAGCGGTCGGTGGTTGGCACCCAATGCTACAATTAAGGGGATACAGACTAAAATTGCTAGGTAACAGTCAGCACTGGACTAATATAGTTTTACATTATTTTTTTTTATATATTTATTTATTTATTTATTTATTTATTTATTTATTTATTTATTTATTTATTTATTTATTTATTTATTTATTTATTTATTTATTTATTTATTTATTAATTAACATTTTGTTCAAAGTAGCTGAATCTAAAACAACAACAACAACCTGCCAGCCCGTCCTCCAAACAAAGACCCAAAAGTGATTCCATGCACCCGCCAACCCCCTCCCCCCCCCCCCCAGGTGTTTATGAATGAAAAACGGTTTACACACGACTCACAACTGATGACGTCCGAACACTTCCGGAACAAGTGCTTCACTGACGAATTTTGTTCGAACCACAACGCTATAAATCTATAAATGCTTCACCCACGTACTACAAATACAAATAATTGCCAACAGAATCTAAACACCCAACCCTAACCTATGCCTATATATGCACAATATGCTAATATATTATAATATTAATTTATATTTGAGAAAATTCCTGTTTTGAATGAACAGCATGTTAAAATTTATGAATGCGTCTGTGGGGTCGACCGCTGGTTGTAATGGACTTGAGTCGAGGACGGGTTGCAACCTGCACAGCCACTAACACGCCTAGCGTTTCCCGCAGGTCCTTAATCTAACTGATAAAAGTAAAAGTAATATATACAGTGTTGCAGAATTTGAGTTCAACATAATAATTACAATATAAATTTATAACACTGATTATATTGGTGGAGATGCATGTCTTAAGTACAAGAATTGGTTGAGTAGGTAGCACAAGATAAATCAATTGATCAAGCTATGTAAAATTAATCAGCCTTGATAACCTACCAACTGAGAATGTTGTAATTGTATCCCAATGTACCTTCTTATAAATACATAAATAAATAAATAAATAGTGCATGATGCGCACTCTGGGCTACGGATAAGTTAACCTGTAGGCAGTTTCGAGAGTTCTCCTCCTGTCCAAGCCTGGCCTGGGGCCTAGGCTTGTCTGGCTCTTTTCTTCAGTTCAATGAATTTATCATATTTGACATTTAATAATGTTTGCTTCTAATTAACTCTTTCACATTAAAATGCTTTCACTGAATTGTAAGGTCTGCCCGTTTTCATCATTATTTACCTGAATTTGGCTATATTTACCTGTAGAAAGGTTTGAAGGAAATGCACCACGCAAAAGATCCATTTATTTGTGTCAACAAAGTTATTCCCAAACCCTCCATCACTATGTGATGGAGGGCGAGAAGATAAGTGAATTCAGAAACAACTCTACAACATATATTCGAGAAATGTTCAAGAAACATTTAATTCAAAATTGTCTACTACCAGAAATTTTAGCCAAATATGGAAACTGCTTGACAGAAAGTTTAGTTTAGTTCATTTATTATGCACCCCATACCCATCTTGTGGGCGGTAGTGGAAAGGGTTACAGAGGCACATAATGGGCTCAGGGCCTGAACCACACAATTCATTTAGCTAAGCAAGTTACAGTCTTGATGAGCTAGTTACAAAATTCAGTATAAGTCGTCACGTCATCAATGGGAAAGAAAGCGGGGAAATTTCTGGTGAAAGAAAACATATTTTCAGTATTTTTGAGTCAGGCGCCGCGCGCGTAGAGGTACTTAACAGAATTTCTCCCTACAAATCTACCCCTATTCTATACTAAATCTGATTTCTTTGTGATCACTGTTCCCTAGCTCACTCCCTATTTCGATGTCATTAATTTGCATTAGTTCCTTAACGTGTTGCGTAAGAAAGCAATCGTCCATTATTTATAGAAAATCTTCTGCTTCATTATTCCCTGTTCTGTTAAACCTGTTAACTTTGTTTATTCCACTAAAATTAAAGTCACCCATGACATAAATATTGTTAGACTTAGATGCTCTAGATATTTTGTCCTATAGATGCTTTGCTTGCATTCTGTCTAAGTTTGGTGGCCTGTATATAACTCCTATTATAAGATTATTTGCTTTTTCGTTTAATTCTAGCCAAATAGTTTCTAAGTGTGGCTCAGTTTTGATTCCCTCTTTGAGACTACATTTCAAAATTTCCCTAACATATATGGCTACTCCCCCACCTCGTCTAATATATCTATGTGAAATATTTTAAATCCATTTATTTGATATTCAGCTAATAGTTCTCTATTTTCTACATTCATCCACGTTTCGGTAAGTTCAATAATATCTATTTTTTCTGTGCAGACAAGAGCATTTAAATCGTTTATATTGTTTCTTAGACTTCCACTGTTAGTGTAATATACCTTAGCTTTAATGTTATTTTGAGGCCCTTCTCTTTCCCTGTTCATTTTTCCAATTTGTTTTCCCCACAAAGACATACTTTTATTACTTCCCCTCTTCATATCATTTCCCATACCACTATGCACTAACAGTTTAAACCCAAACAAACCCCTACAACCACAGGTTCCAACAAGTTGGCAACAGCAACAACCCCAGCCCTGGATAGATGCACCCAGTCCCGAGCATACATGTCATTTCTTCCATAGAAGTGTTCCCAATTATCAATGAAGGATATTGCGTTCGATTTGCAATATTTGTCCAGTCGGCAATTGATACCAAGTGCCCTCGACAACCATACATTTCCAACTCCCTTTCTTGGAAGAATGCCACATATGATCGGGATTCCTCCCTTACTCCTTAAACCTCTGTAACAGTGCCTCACTCCTAACTCGGCAGTAGATAGGAGTAGACCTGCTTGTAAATTTTTTTTTCAAATATCTTTGAATAAATTTGGTATTGGTCTGTAAGTGTTTATGTCTGCCGTATCGCCTGCTTTATGAACCGGCGCTACTCGTGCTTTTTTCAAGGATATCGGGGAAAGTATGACACTAGAGATTTGTTGAATATCAGAGCTATGGATGGTGCAAGGGCATGGGTGGCACTCTTGTATACCATAGATGGTGTTTCACTAATAAAAATAAAATAAAATGTTTATTCCGGTAAAAGTGCATACATAAAAGATGAAGGTTGTAACAGAACCGATGGGCACCACACCAGAAACAAATACGAATATTTGATATTCCAAGAGTGCGACTTAACCAAACTAGAAGTGCAATCTACAAATCAAGGGACCCAGAATGTGGAATGACCTCCCTAATCATGGCAAAGGCTGTACCTCTCTCAACCAGTTTAAGAGTAGAACTAAGTACTACCTAATTAACTCCATGTAACCTACTTTACCCCCCTAAATGTCAACCCATGATTTGCTATTCTAAACAATGCTATTTGTTGACCAACTTGTACAATTGCTGTTTTTTGTCATGTTCTTCCCCTTTTTTTTATTCCCCTTTTTTAACACAATTTATACTTTACTCCCAATTACCATTAAGTTTTAGTCTAAGTGTTTTTCCTCCACACCTTGCCCGAAATGCTATGCGTATTAAGGGCTTTAGGTATTGTATGTACTAGCTCTATCTATAAATCCAACAGTAACTTTGTAACTCTGCATCTATGTACGTATGTACTTTTCCTAAATAAATTGTTTATTTATTTATTTATTTATTTATTTATTTATTTATTTATTTATTTATTTATATACAAGAAGGTACATTGGGGGTTAACAGAGAACATAGAGTTTAAGTTGAAATTACATTCTTGTAAAGCCATTAGCAGTCATAGCGTTTCGGGCAATGTGTTTCCAGTTTCCCAGTTAATGTTCCCAGCTTTGGTTTTTAGTGAGTGAATGATGGACATAACATTTTTTCGGGCTGACTAGTGAAAGGAGGGGCTGCGCCTCTCCTTTTCCGAGAAAAGGAGAGGTGAGTGCATAAAAGTTTTCCTTCTGAATGACTGCACGAGTTGTCCTGCTCCTCCTGAGGGGCGTCTGCAGGATACACTGGTTTATCATTAACTATTAATTAACACTCGAGTTTCTTGAAGTTTCATAGACATGTTGGCTTAGAGAAGTTTTTCGCAACCGATCAAGGTTACCCAACCAATGGATACTCCCTGAGATCACATGTCAAGACTGACTAGCCAATGGACACCCCCAGGGCCATAGGCCAAGCATTATTGTCTAGTGGACGCCCGTGAGGTGACAGGGAAAGGTCAGGCGGGCAATGGACACCCCAGGAGCGATGAGGAAAGGTCAGGCGGGCAATGGACACCCCAGAAGCGATAAGGAAAGGTCAAGCGGGCAATGGACACCCCAGAGGTTACACGTAAAGGCCAGGCAGGCAGTAGACACCCCAAAGGCAACCAATGAAGGCCAGGTAGGTAGTGGAGTCTATAGGGGGTCACAGGTCAAGGCCGGCGTCCAGAGAGAGCGTCCAGCGAGTACTGGTGACTAAGCGACCCGCCAGACGCGCCACAACAACAACAACCTCGCGGACGCCGCCAACGGCATAAAGAAGCTCATTACAAGTGTGGGGATATATTGAGCCCGGTGAGTGTGGAGTGGAGCTGTGGGGTGTGTGCGGGTAGACGAGCCACTCGTGGTGTCCCAAGGTTCATTAAGAAACCACTCATCACCCGGGTCTTGCATTAGGGACGGTTACTGCCACACGGGGTGTCCAGGCGGCCACACGGCCCAAAGTGCCGAGCCGAGCTGCAGTTTGGTGTTGAAGCTGCTACACTTGTTGGTGGCCGCTGTGTAGCTGGCACCACTGAGGTCATTGGCCAGTCTTTGTTACCATGGTACCTGGGGCGGTATAATGGTTACCATGAATTATCTAAATAAAAGTAAAAATTCTTAAATGAAATATAGTTTTGGTTTTTGTGCCGAGATTATTCATGGAATTAAAAAGTAATTGGTCTTCTCATGATTATAAGTTGAAATTAAGTGTTTGAAGATGAAGAGATGTAGTCAGCTATTTAAAAAAGCTGATGATCAGTGCTGCCTCTATATCATCTTGAATAATTAAAATTAAAATTGAGTTTTTGAGAAAATTAAAAAAATTTCACATTTTACTAAAATAACTAGTATAACAATCATATCTTATTTAATTTGGGCAATTTATGGCACTAGTCTTAAGGTGCCATTGTATATGACTGCAATATGTCCTTGTTTGCACAATTCCTCAGGACTGCTGCTCTGAATCTCCGAGTTTTGAGTGTAATGCAGCCTTGCCTTAACAAATTATGCTTGGTAATACAGTATACAGTACATGTATACATGTGATGGCTGACTGGCTATATTTCTAATTTTTACTGAAAAGAGATTTCAACAGTGGGGAATCTGTTTCTGCTGTGACACAATTTACATATAGACAGCTTTTTGATCTTCATATTGATTACAATCATGTAAATCAGCAAAATAGAGTCATGTATCACAAAATAGTCAATAAGAGTCCACAGAACTCCAAAATTCCATTTTTTGTTTTATTATCTTTACCCAGTACAAATCAACATATTGATGTTAATAGTACAGTCGGGTTCATTTTCAGCTCACAGTCGAGAATTCCGGGTTTGAATTCTGGGCAGGATACAAATGGTTGGGTGCATTTCCTATCACCTAATGATCCTATTCACCTAGCAGGAAGAAGGTACTCGGGAGTTAGTCAGCTTGTTGTGGGGTTGCATCCTGGGCGGGGTCAGTAATTTGACCTTGGAGGGGGGGGAGGGAGACCTCGATTTAAGCTTAACGTGTATGAATACACTCTGGCTGTCTGTCCCCGACACAATGAATTATACAGTAATTATTATATTAATGCTCTCATTTAATGCTTTCTCCACTTTTCAAACACAAACACAGTACATATTGCTGTGTGTATTGCTGTGAGTACAGTGACGCAAATATTGCGTCAGCCAGAAAAATGATTGGATGGATTACGAGAACTTTTAAATCCAGAGATCCCATCACGATGGTTGTACTCTTCAAGTCACTTGAGTACTGCTCAGTACTCACTTCTCCCTTCAGAGCAGGAGAGATTGCTGAAATAGAAGGAATACAGAGAACATATACGGCACGCATAGACGCGATAAAGCACCTAAATTATTGGGATCTTCTCAAAGCTCTCCAAATGTACTCACTAGAAAGGAGACAAGAGAGATACCAAATAATATACACATGGAAAATACTGGAAGGCCAGGTCCCTAATCTACACAGTAAAATGACAATGTAATGGAGTGAATGATATGGAAGAAAATGCAGAATAGAACCAGTGAAAAGCAGTGGTGCCATAGGCACAATCAGAGAATACTGTATAAACATCAGAGGTCCGCGGTTGTTCAACGTCCTCCCAGTGACTAAAAAATATTGCCAGAACAACCTTGGACATCTTCAAGAGAAAACTAGACTGTTTTCTAAAAGACGTTCTGGACCAACCGGGCTGTGGTGGGTATGTGGGCCTGCTGGCCTTTCCAAGTAACAGCCTGGTGGACCAAGCTCTCACTAGTCAAGCCTGGCCTTGGGCCGGGCTTGGGGAGTAGAAGAACTCCCAGAACCCCATCAAGCAGGTATGAATGCACCTACAGTACTTATGAATTTTTCAGGTTACGACCCCAGTTTCATCAGAAAATTTGAATCTGTTTAAGACCTTTGCCTCAACTTGCAATTTTGTTGATACACGTATGGGTCGACCGAGCACGTGGTTTCTGGTGGCACAGGCGACCCTGCTTCAGTTTCCCAGACTGCCCTCTTAATGACGATCGCACTTGAATTCTTTGTAAAGAATTTCATTGCTTTTGTGTTTTTTTGTTTTTTGAAAGTAATTATTATATATCTCACCATGGGTCCCCAAGAAAGTCAGTAGTAAGGTTCAACCTAAGAAAACACATCATGAGGATGACCATAGCAGAAAAACAAGAGATCATTCATAGTGAGACAATGTGATGTCTTCCTACAGACAAGTGTTAAAGCATAGGGAAAAACAAGTGTTTATAGACAGGTTCTTGGTAAGACAAGCAAGCAGTGAGCCACAACCAGGTGCTAGTGGTATGCCTGCATAATGGAAGGTACTTCCCTTCCAAACACTAGCACCTCTCCATACGTAAATACACAGATTTACGTATGCCCTACATAAAGTGTTCAATGTGTCTTTTACATAGTGTCATTAATGTGCATTTACATACTCTGGTGGTGTGTGGATAAGGAGTAATTTCACAAGTACTCGGGCTGCATTCACCTAGGGTTACCTTCTCTAGGTGCCCTGTAAGTAATACTGCCATTGTGGCTTGGGGCTACCTTCCACAAGTCGCTTGGGACCTACCTCCTTGGGGTCTTTTACTGCTCGGTGATTGCTCGCCTTTGGAGTCAGCTGGGGTGTTTCATGCGCCTTTGTCTCTGGGTAGGAGGTAGTTTTGTCACTGGTAGGGCACAAGGCAGTGTGCAGCTAGTTTTCACCATAATATAGCAGCCTGCTCTGTTCCGCCTGGGAACGTTGTACTTTTGCAGGGTTTTCTTTTATATTTGTTAGCTGCCTGGTGGGGTTTTGCCCCTTGGTGTTGTTGACTCTTATTTATTCCCTTGGTAGTCCTCCACTTAGTCTTCGTGAGTGTACACGTCACAGGGGTTCAGCAATTAGTGGTTCACTTGGTAGTTTGGGGCGCTGGTTAGCAGTACCTTGCCTGGGCTTCCCTTAGCAGAGTTTAAGGGGCCTGAAAACCCCCACTGGGGCTAAGTGGTCCAATGGATGCATCCCCAGGATCCCATCTTGCTCCATGCGAGTTTGAAGATTGCTCTGTCCCCTTTTCTCAGGGGTGACAATCACCAGTTTTGTCTCCATCATGCTGCCTGTTAGATTGGTAACACCTTTGACCCAGAGTCCTGCAAGTGGTGTTCTTTGCTTGTACTCCAGTTCACCCAATCCATTGATCTTGATATTCGGGTGCAGGCAGCTTTGGTGTTGCATGTGTGTTTTAGGTTGCTGCAGGTTGGATGGTTGGTTGCCCCGAGGCTGCCCTGTTTTGGTTATAGGGACCTGGTTTCTGGTGGCACGGGCGACTTCGGGACTATAGTTGCCTTGACTTCGGTTTCGTTCACGCCCCCTTGTCCTTTCCCTGCTGTTGTTCATCCTGTTCTTCTCCCCCCCGGCTCCGAAATGTCTGAGGGTTTCGGAGTTGGGGCAGGGTTTAGTTGGTGGTGAGACTCAGGCAGTTTCGGGGGATGCCCCATCCGGTATGGCGACGGAGGTATTCAAGCCTGTTCCTCCAGCCAGTGCTTCTGGGTCTGACCAGTGGGCCCCCCTTATTTCCTGCTTTGCTGGTGGACTCTGCCTTTCTTTTGAGGCAGAGGGTTTGGAAGACGGCTTGGCCCCGGATCCTGGTGCGGAGGTTCCCGGGGTGGGGGAGGGGCTGACTTGTGGGCCTTAGGCCCCATATAACCTCGCTTGGGTGTTGGTACCCTCTGAGTGGGGCTTGTTGTTACAAGGGGTGGGATTTTTTTATCCTCCCTGTACGAGTTAGATATGGTGTTAGCTCCTCCTCAGGTTCGGTTCCCTGAGGTTCCAGGTTCCCTTTGGGTTCTTCGGTCCCTTCCTACCTGAGGTTTTCAGCTTCCCACATCCCGCCTCATGAGGTGCGGGAGTCCCTTGTGGCTTACCTCCTGCGTTACCCAGATTACGCCTTGATAATGAATCCTGCCTCTTTTGAGTTCAGCTCTTTCTTTCCTTGCTGGGTGCATTACGAGGTTCTGGAGTCATCCTGGTTGGCAGACTGTCCTCTCTTTTCGTTGGGAGCGTGGCATACGTTCTGTCAGTCCTGCACACTTGAGTGGCACGAGGCTCTTACTGTTCAGGTTTACCTGTGGGGTGAATTTGAACACCTCAATGCGTGTTTGTTCACCCCTGCCCTTCCTCGGGACGTCGGTCTGGTGCAGCTTCACGTGCAGATTCCCTTTCTTTCGGCGACCCTAGTGGCTGAAGACTTGGCCATTTGGCTTCAGTTCTCCATTTCTTTTCCCTTCTCGAGAATTTTGACTTCGGACTGGCTTGAGGAGGATGTGGAGGCAATGGGTGCCGATCTTGTTTCTGGTGCGTTGGTCTCGAAGATGCGGGTGTCAGCTGCCCTGTTGAAGCTGTTTGCGCCAATTTTGCCGACAGAGGGACAGGCTCCACAGCAAGGTGCAGGAGTTCGCGGCTGTGTGGATGTCACTTCGGAGGGTTCAGGTCGTTCAAGGTTCGATGATCCGGCTCCATGCGGATTGCTCCCCGGTGGTTCATTGCCTGAACCGCAGGGGTTCGATGCAGTCCTTGGCTCTTTGGGGCAGGTCGCTTTGGGTGACTTGTCTATTAAGTTCTTGGGGTTCGGCTCTCCTGGCCGTTCATGTTCTGGGGGTGTCAAATGTCCTGGCGGACTGCCTGTCACTGTTCGTTTTCCTGTCCACAGAATGGACAGTTGACGCTGACTCGTTCAGTTGGCTCAGCCGGATGTACAGGCTCCCAGAGGTGGACCTCTTCACGTCGGCATGGTTGAGGCATCTCCCGAATTATGTAGCGCCCTTTCCCGACTATGAGGCTATCAGGGCCGATGCCTTCAGGCAGGACTGGTCGACGTGGGGTTACCTGTACCTCTTGCTCCAGGTCCTGGCTTGCTTGGAGACTCACGAAGGGAGAGTACAGTAGTCTTGCTGGCCCCCTGGTGGCTGACTCAGCCTTGGTTTCAGGCTCTGCTTGCTCGGTGTCCAAACGCGGGTGTCTTCCTGCGGCTTCTCTTTCAGCAGATCGAACCAGTCCGTTATGTAGCTGGTTCGATCTCTCTTCAAGTCTTTGCTTCTGGTCTTTCTGGCACGGGTCTATCACCATTTGTATGGTGAGCAGGTGGCTACATTGATGGTGTCCCACCTGCATGCTTCGTCTTGGCGGCAGTATAAAGTTTCCTGGCAGTCATTTTGTTATTTCTTGTCCCTCCATAGGTTTTCTTCAGTTTTGGATCAGGTTGTCTTGTCCTTCCTTTCTTAGTTGTTTCGGGATCGTCATCTTATGCCGTATACTGTCACCTTGTATTGTGCGACGCTAGCAGAGCCGCTTCAGCTTGCGTTCTGGGTAGATGTTACTTCTGCTCCATTCTGCAAGCTGTCTCGTGCATTGTTTCACCTCCGTCCTGCTCATGCGGCGCCTGAGCCGTTCTGGTCGTTGGACTGGGTGCTCTCTTTTCTCCCCTCTCCTCAATTTGTGGTGGCCCCTTCGGTTCAAGATTGTTTTGAAGGCTCTTTTCCTGTTGGCATTGACTTCTTAGGGTTGGGTTGGGGAGCTTCATGCTCTCTTCCAGCGCAGAGGTTTCTGCTGTTTTGGTCCTGGTGGTAGGTTTGCTCTTTTGCAGCCATCCCCTTTTTTCCGGCAAAGAATGAGACTGCTGCTTTCCAGATGGGTCCTTGGGTTGTTGATGCTTGGTTAGTTCGGCCGGGTGTGCATCATGTGTCCGGTTGCGGCTCTTCGCTGTTACCAGCACGTCATGGGCCCAGTAGTCGGGGAAGTGCTTTGGGTTGACCCCAGTTTCCCTTCTTCTTTGTTCCAGGGTTCGGATCTCCCAGGTCGTCCTGAGGGTTATTCGATCCACCCAGCCTGCGGTCCATCCTCATGCCCATGGCGTTTATAAGTTTGCTGTGTTGGCTGGCGTCTTTGGTAATATGTCTTGGGCTGACATTTGGACACAGGGTTTTTGGAGGTTGAGCACGGTCCTGGCAGCTTGCTACCTAGTTAATGTTCCTGGCCTTAGTCGGGCGTGTGCCGCATTGGGTCAGCGGTTGTAGCCAGTTGTCTTCGAGTTGAGGAGCGAGTGGCAACCGCCTCCTGGGTAAGTCCCTCTTGTTTTATCTCTGATTAAGTAGCTCCGGGGAGCCAATGGGGCTCCCCTGAGAAAACCAGCGTTGAATGTAATGAAATGCCATTTTCTGGGCGAGACCTGGAGGCTCCCGAAGAGCCAAGGCCCAAGCAGATTCTAAAGAAGCCAGCACCGCCTGCCGACACGTGAGGCGAGAAGCTTAGTACCGCGAAACCGCACCAGACTCCCATCAGCCTAAGAACTGTAGGTTGGGTCACCGGCGGGTGGGTCTGGGGCTTCCCCTTACCCCTCCTGGGGAGAGGGGGGGGGTTGCACAGACAGCGGCGTGGCGACGTGATGACATCATGCTAGTTTGCTAATTTTCGTTTGGTGAGTTTTGTCCACCTGTTCGGCTTTCGGTCGCAATACTTTTATCAGATAAGGGTTTGTTTTGGGGCGCCTACCTTTCTGGGTGCCTGTCACAGTCGCTGGCAGACATAGAATGCTCCCAACCACGGGGAGGGGGGGGAGGTCTCTATAGGCCATTGCTGCTTGTGCCTCTCTAGAGGGGGCCAGGTTCTGGCTCGTGGTCCCCGGTAGGCAAGAGCTCCACGCATTGACTGATGCCAGAAATATATACATATCCATTCAGCCTGGATAGCTCCGGGGAGCCTCCAGGACTCACCCAGAAAATGGCATTTCATTACATTCAACGCTGGTTTTTTCAAGTGTAATTGTTCATTGGACTTTCAATAATATTATTTGTATCACAGAATGTGTAGAATATTGATTCTAACAAATACTGCATACAGTATTCGTGTCACATTATAGGATTGGCCCTATGGAAAATCTTGCTTCACATTTCAAACAGCTGCTTTACAAACATTCTCAAAACGTAACTTGTTTGTAGTAAGGGAAGTACCTATACTTATAAACTGTATTTGTATTCACTAGGTCATAACACGCTTCAACTGGATTTGTATCAATAATTATTTTTTCTGGAGATGAGCTGACAACTACCACCATTTCCCATTTTTGTATAGTAAAACTTGGATTACATTATGTTCTTCATAAAACTCATTTTAATTCTTTATGTTGCCGGTGTTTGTATTTGTTGGTTAAAAATGTTTTCACTTTGTCGCTCGTTGCAGATACAGAGTGGATGGGACGGATTGTTCAGCTTGCATGAGATCAGTAGCCACCGCACTGAACGAAAACCACTCGTTGCTGAGGAGAGGAATTTGACGTTTCAAGAGATATACTACAAGAAGGGGTAAAAACTGACAAAAAGTGATCATAAGAAATGAATAAGAAATGGTGGAAAACAAAGAAAGGATAATTACAGAGGAGGAGGAGGAATAGCACTAGTAGGAAAAGGAAGATGCAGATGTGGAGATGAAGGACAGTAAATGTGACGGTGACATGACTAACCGAAGCAAAGGTGAGAAAAGTGAAGAGGACAAGCCAGAGAAAATGGAGGCAGAGGAAGATGGTATGCAGGAGGATGAAGAGAGACATGAGAAACCGAAGGTGGAAGGTGGCTCTTGTGCACCAGACACCAAACACATTAACACAGTTACAAAAGATGATGCAAAGGAAGAAGCTCAAGAAAAAATAGAACTTGCTACAAGTGAAGGTAATGATGAAGCATTAAAGAGTGTAGAAAAGACTGATGAGGAAATGTGCTGTGAGAAAACAAACAATGGTGACAAGCAAGAGAAGAAACAAGATGAAAAACAGGCAAATGGTGAGAACACGATGATGAAGGGGAAGGAGGAAGAGATTAATGTTAATGAAGTGGAAGCACAAGTTCATATTGATAAAACTGGAGAAAACGAAAGTAATGATAATATTACCAAAGGTATAGATCATTTTGAAGAGAAATATGAGTCAAAAATTGTCAATAAAGAGAATAAAGATGAATGCAAGAGTAATAATTCAGAGAAATTGGAGGATAAAAATGGAAGTTGCAGTCAAAAGGATAAAAAGTGTGGGTCGGCTCTGCTGAGTCTGCAGCAGATGGATGAAGCCATGGCAAAGTGTGGCAGTAGTTTGACCTATGATAACCTGGTTTCCAGTGAGCCAACTTTTACGCAGCTGCTTGCTCAGTCAGCTGCAAATCCTATTAAGTGGCCCAAGGACCAAATGCTGCAGAATAGAAATGAACATCTCATGTATGCTGCGGAGCATAAAAAGTGGCCAGTCGGCATTGATTACCAAAGTAGTGAACAAGAAAGTAAATCCAGTGCCCTCCCTCAAGCCACCAGCAGTGCCTCATCACCTCACACATCAAATTCATCCGACCCTTTGGATTCTGAGCGCAGGAAACGGCGCCAGTTGGAGGCAGCAGAGGCAGAGCGACAGCGCATTCAGGCTTTGTTGCATCCTAACCTTCAGTACACGTTAGGACTGAATAAAAGTTCTTCCAGTGCTGCTGCTGCTGCCGCCGCTGCTGCTGCCTTGAATTTCCCTCCAAGCTTCACTAATGCCAGTCTTAGATCACTTATGGAACAGACTGATGAAAGGGGTAAAAGAGCCCAGCAGCAGCTGGCTGTAGACTCTCATGCATTGCAGCAGCTTCAGGCTCTTCAAGGAACATTAGACTTAACTATCAAACCTGTTAACCCTGGCCATAATGCTATGGATGTCGCTGCCAGTTATTTGTCTCCTTGGGGCACATGCTGGCCTACGCTGGATGATCCCATGAGAATGATGGACAAGAGACATCTTAGTGAATCCCCCTTAGATTCTAGACCTCAAGATAAGAAACGCAGAAAACTGGATGAAATTGTATTTGGGCTTTCATCTAAGGGTAAGAGTCCTGATAACTTTGGTTTGCCTCCTAAAGATGCTAGCCCAGTGTCTCTTCGTGGATCATCAGTAACCTTATTAAGTTCTCACGACAAAAGTCAGGTAACTAACACTGTGACAACACCTAAATTAGCTTCTTGTATTAGCATCACTCCGACCATATCCAAACGGCCTGTCGACACACGGGTAGAAGACAGCGTAGGGGCATCAAACAAGTTGATGACAACATCCAGCAACAAAGATGGCAAACCTGGGTTAGTGAGACAATCAGACTTGCCCCCAGGTGTGACGTTGCCGCCTGGAATTGAGCTTTACCGACCAACTGATGCTAAAGTGGATAAGTGGTTGGAACAGCATCAAGGTCTCTTGGCAGATTCCTCAAGAACTTCCAAGGACATGAAGAGATGCAAGATTGACTTCACATCAATGGACTGGAGTCAATTTTCTGGTGATGAGCATGTCAGTGTTATTAACACTACCACTGGACACAGGGTTTGTACTTGTTGACTTTTGTTATACTGTACTTGTGCAATGTGACCACACCACTGTGTATTTATACTGTACTTGAGCAATGTGACCACACCACTATATTTATACTGTACTTCTACAATGTGACCACACCACTGTGTATTTATACTGTACTTGAGCAATGTGACCACACCACTATATTTATACTGTACTTCTACAATGTGACCACACCACTGTGTATTTATACTGTATTTCTACAATGTGACCACACCACTGTACATATTGTCTTCTCTAGTTGTACAGAGTGACCACACCACTGTACATATTGTCTTCTCTAGTTGTACAGAGTGACCACACCACTGTGTATATTGTCTTCTCTAGTTGTACAGTGTGATCACACCACTGTGTATATTGTCTTCTCTAGTTGTACAGTGTGACCAGACCACTGTGTATATTGTCTTCTCTAGTTGTACAGTGTGACCAGACCACTGTGTATATTGTCTTCTCTAGTTGTACAGTGTGATCACAACACTGTGTATATTGTCTTCTCTAGTTGTACAGTGTGATCACAACACTGTGTATATTGTCTTCTCTAGTTGTACAGTGTGACTAGACCACTGTGTATATTGTCTTCCCTAGTTGTACAGAGTGACCACACCACTGTACATATTGTCTTCTCTAGTTGTACAGTGTGACCACACCACTGTGTATATTGTCTTCTCTAGTTGTACAGTGTGACCACACCACTGTGTATATTGTCTTCCCTAGTTGTACAGAGTGACCACACCACTGTACATATTGTCTTCTCTAGTTGTACAGTGTGACCACACCACTGTGTATATTGTCTTCTCTAGTTGTACAGAGTGACCACACCACTGTGTATATTGTCTTCCCTAGTTGTACAGAGTGACCACACCACTGTACATATTGTCTTCTCTAGTTGTACAGTGTGACCACACCACTGTGTATATTGTCTTCTCTAGTTGTACAGAGTGACCACACCACTGTGTATATTGTCTTCCCTAGTTGTACAGAGTGACCACACCACTGTGTATATTGTCTTCTCTAGTTGTACAGTGTGATCACACCACTGTGTATATTGTCTTCTCTAGTTGTACAGTGTGATCACACCACTGTGTATATTGTCTTCTCTAGTTGTACAGTGTGATCACACCACTGTGTATATTGTCTTCTCTAGTTGTACAGTGTGATCACACCACTGTGTATATTGTCTTCCCTAGTTGTACAGAGTGACCACACCACTGTACATATTGTCTTCTCTAGTTGTACAGAGTGACCACACCACTGTACATATTGTCTTCTCTAGTTGTACAGTGTGACCACACCACTGTGTATATTGCTTTATCTGAGAGGACTCCCTGTATAACTTAGAATCCTCCAGACTATTATACCACACCAGGCTCTAAGGAATTACGAGTTCCTGACAGAGATCAAGACGAAAGTCTGGCTCCCTTAATTGAGGCATATGGAAGTCTGAGTAGTGCACATCAAAACAAACAACTGCTTAGATAACATTTGCTACCCAGATGCGAACTATGTACAGTCTTGTTGTCAAGATCAAATCATTAGCGCACTTACCCAGCACCAGATGACAGCCCTGGCGACCTGAGGGCACTGAACAGCTACCCTAGTCATTCGCATGCCTGGTGCAACTTCCTCCTGGGCATTGGTCTCAGGTAAGTGTTGGCTTTCTTTTTGCCCTCTGTCCTATATAGGTCTGTAATTGTGTTTGTTTCTCTTCAAGCTTCATATGCATGTTTTCTCATGCCAACTGGTTGCTTGTTAGCCTCGGTTCCTTGGAGGAGCCCAGTGGTTAAGGTGGCCTGGATTTGTCCTTCTGTAAGTGCGTTACTGTACTTGCTTCTAGGCTCCAGTGGCAGCTTAAGCCTTCCCTTACTACATTTTTGAGCTGGTCTGAATCCAGGTTGGTTTTAGTGGTTCCCCCAAAGGTCTCATTTCTGGAGGAAGCCCCTTGTGACTTTCTGATGTGGTTCACAACACTGAAGTGGTTTACAATATCACTATTAGTGATATTACTATTACTGATAGTAATAGCTACAGAGTTCTATAGGCCTATCAGGGACCAGAGCCGGAACCTGGCCCCTTCACAGAGGCATGGGGAGTGAGGACATGTATTTGTTTGTGCCACTGCCAGGGAAGCAATCAGGTCTGCGAGACAAAACAGATCACTGCCAGCTTGAGAACCGCCAAAAGAACTCCCCCAATTTTGTAAACAATCAAAACCCTCCAAATTAGAGCACGCTCATTCACCCCACCTCTCTGACTTATTTGGGGGGAGAAGGGAGGCAACCCACGGTCAGCCAGCCACTCCACTCTCAGTTCTATGCTGATGTGTGTAGTGTGTACCTGGTCACTTCCCTGCTGCTGTACACTCCTGTATTGTGGTGGAACGACATGAGGGGGGGGTCTCATGTTATTCTCTATCCAGGTTTTCCTGTTATTCCACCCCACCCCTCCCCAGCGCCATGGGTAGTGGACAACCTTCGTGCCCGCCAGTATCTAGGTTCTGTCGTGTGCTTCTTGGGACTCCTTGAGCTGCATATGGATTGGCTCAAGAAGAACGTTGGAGCACTTAGCGGGGGGGGAGGGCACTTGCAGGGGGTCTTGGGGTATGATGTTCCAATGTCCCCTGTGCTCCCCAAGCTGTACACTCCTGTGCTCTGGGAGGTGGTAGCCACATTCTTCGATACCCGAGTCACAGGTTGATGGGCTTAGTTGACCTAGTCTCTGGATTCAGCATGAGATCTTTCTCTCCTGTCTGTATTTCCCTTTTCTCCACTACTCTTCCCAGAGAACATGGTTTCCCAATTCTAGTCCTCGGCAGCCACAACTTGTCAGCCTGTTACAGATTTTGTGTGTTCAGTGTTCTTGTTCCCAGTCAGGTAGGACTGGGATGTTGCCTTCTGGTGGTTGGGGTAGGCCATTGGTGGAGTCACATGGCGGGTCACAAGTGCTTCCATGTTCAGCCCTTTGCATATATCTGGTCAGTGCCTTGTTCGATCCTTTTGGAGGGCAGTCCCTCAGGTTTTGTGCTGACCCTTTCGTGATTCACTCCTTTGACAGGGTGGTGGGCAGGCTAGGCTCTCTTGGTTTTCTGACTCCTGGTCCCACGATTCATGGGCTTTTCTGGGGGAGCCCTGTCGACTCCCCGGAGCTTACTAGGCTGATATGCTAATGTCAGACTTTGGCATCAGTCATGTGTATGGAGTTTTGTGGGCCTACCGGGGACTACCAGCAAGAATCTGGCCCCCTCAGAGAGGCCTGGGGTGCAATAGTCTATAGAAATCCCCCGTGTGGTTGGAAGTATTCTATGTCTGCCATCGACCAGGTCTGTCACCCAGAAAGTTATGCATCCCAAAACAAACCCCTATTCTGGTGAAAATATTGTTACCAAAAGCTGAACAAGTGGATAGAACTCCCCTAAAAGAAACAAGCATGACGTCACACGTTGGCGCGCCGCTGTCTGTGCAGCTCCCCCCTATCCAGATGGGGGAAGGGGGAACCCCAGACCCCCTACGCCGGCTATCCACCCGTTAGTTCTAAGGCTGATGCTAAAGGCAATGGTCGTGTGCTCCGGCTCCGGTGATTGTTTCAGCACTGTACCGAGTGTGTGGTGACTGCTAGGTGGTGCGTGAGCCGGGAGTGATTCTCCAGTACTCAGGCTGCATGCGCCTAGGGTTTCCTTCCCTAGATGCCCTGTAAGTACCGCCCTTGGGACTTGGGGTTACCTTCTACACGTTCCTTGGGTTCTGCCTCTGTTAGGCCGTTTACTGCTTGGTTTTCGGCCGCTCTTTGTGTGCTAGGGTGTTCTGTCTCCCTTGTTCACCTTAGGGTGAGGGGCAGTTTTGCACTGGTAGGGGCACGGGGTACTGTGCAGCTTGTTTTTACCAATCATAGCGGCCGGCTCTGTTCCGCCTGGGTACTCTGTCCTCTTGTGTTTTTTTTTTCTGTCTGCCTGATGGGGGGGGGATCTGCCTTGGTTCTTGCCCCCTGTGTACTGAGTACTCTTTTTTCTTCCGGTGGCTTCCCCTGCTAGGTTCCCGTGAGTGTACACGTCCCGGGGGTTCTGTTTTTAGAAGGTTGTTTGGTATACTTTGGCGCTGGTTAGCAGTACCCTGCCTGGGATTACCGGGCGTGAGTTACATTAAACACTCAGGACCCTGGGAATCCCCTTGGGGGCACGTGGGTCCGATGAATGTGTCCCCGGAGTACCCCCTCACTTCGTGCGAGTTCGAGGGTCAGATATCAAGGGGCAAGCAAGGCAGACCCCCCCCCCCACCCAAGGCACAAAAAAATAAAATAAAAAACCTGCAAGAGAACAACGTACCCAAAGGAACAGAGCCAGCCGCTATGAATGGTGAAAACAAACTGCGCAGCACCCTGTGCCCCGTACCAGGGCAAACTGCCTCTTACCCTAAGGTAAACAAGGGAGACAAAACACCCAAGCACCCAAAGGGTGGCCAAAAAACCGAGCAGTTAAACAGCCCAGCAGAGGCAGGACCCAAGGAACTTGTGGAAGGTAACCCCCAAGCCCCAAAGGCAGTACTTACAGGGCATCTAGGGAAGGGAACCCTAGGCACAGCTACCCCCTTTTCCCTCCCTGGGATAGAGAAGGGGGAAGCTGCGCAGACAGTGGCGTGGTGGCGTCATGCTCGTTTGCTAGTTTCTTTTAGGGGAGTTCTATCCACTTGTTCGACTTTGGTAGCAATATTTTCACCAGAATAGGGGTTTGTTTTGGGATGCTTACCTTTCTAGGTGCCAGACCCAGTTGATGGCAGACATAGAATGCTTCCACATAGAATGACATAGAATGCTCGTGGTCCCCGGTAGGCCCACAGAACTCCATACATATGACTGATGCCAAAGTCTGACATTAGCATATCGGCCTAGTAAGCTCTGGGGAGCCTCCGGGTCACACCCAGAAAATGGCGTTTCATTACGTTCAACTCTGGTTTTTTATATTGTTTCTCACAACCTGCGGTGGAGTTGGCTGGTTCCTCTTCCTTTTGGGTGTTTAGGCCTGTTTGGGCAGGCTTCCTCTCTGCCTGCCTTGGGTTACAGTATTTCAGAAGGGGTGACTTCGGTCTTGGTTAAAAAGACATTTACCCTTTGGTGGGTTCCCACCTCTTTCTGGTCCTGAAACGGGATTGCCGAACCTCTGGTTGATTCCTTGCCCCTCCTTTCGATAGACCTCTTTGTCCCAGGTCCATCTTGGTCTCAAGGTACAGCATAATGTTACTAGTGTTCATATCTACATATCTGAACTCAATAATCTCACTAATACACTTCGTCCTCTTGATGTAAATGACATACTAATGCACTTTGTAGAAGTCTGGTTCACACTGCTCCTCTTGCTTCCAGTGCTGTTTTCTGGTGTCTTTTCTATTTCCTATTAGTTTTTTCTCCTATACTTTGGTGAAATTGGCCGTACACTGAATGATAGACTTAAAGAACACAAAAGAAGTGTCAAGTCTGCAGACACAAACCATGCTTTCTTCTGTCATGTTGGGGACACCTAATCCTTCCTGTAGATTGGTCTTCTAAAATAATCTTTCCTGCCTCTACTCTTCACAGACGACATCTTGTCAAATTGGCTCTGGTACACAACATGCCCAGCATGAACCTTAACCCTGGTTTTGCTGCTGTTGACTCTTCCCTTTCACAGTACTGTACATACTTATTTGCTCTACCTTTCTTAACAATCATGTTCTGACTTAAGCTTTGCTCCTGTCTCTTATTCTTACCTTTCCTCTTATTCTTACTTTCATTCTATTCTATGAATGTGATGAATGCCTTTCATCCTATTCTAAGAAATGACATTAAAGGTATTCTTACCTTTGATCTTATTCTTATCTTTTTCTCTCACCTGCTCCTCACCTCTCATCTCATCCTCTTACCTTATATAGGAAAAGAAGCACACAATCAAGGTTTGTCAATCACTAAATTGGATATCAAGTCACATTGGCACAGTTGGTAATGAAAAGGCAGACTTACTAGCAAAAACTGGCACTGCTTTAACTGAAATATTTTTACCTGTACAACAAAGTTTCTCACAGATTAAGGAGCAAATCAAGAAAATACTCCCACTCCTAACTATCAAAAGTCGCCACAGAGCCAAAGTAGCAGAGGCAGACCCACTGCGATGTGGTATGAACAAGCCACAGGGTACTCCTCTTTCAAGCCTGGCAAAAAGCTATCCAGAGACATTGCAGTAGCCATACACAGATTCAGACTTTACTACAAGTACTGCTGGGAGGTAATAAACCCAATAGTTAAAGAGTGTCGTATCTGTGCAACAGATGCAGAAGTGCCACTATTGCATTACTTACTGGAATGTGAAGCAACTGAAGCCTTGCACATCAAACTCAACATGCAACCAAGAAGAGCAGCTGCATTAAATGCAAAATCCACAGTGATTACAATGGATAAAAAATCAGTTGAGGAATGCGACGCACTAGTTAATATTGCACATCTATATCCGTCACCAAAATAATGTTATTAAAACAACAAGACTAAAACCAGTGCGAAAAGAAGGAAACTCTACCTTCATTTAAAACTTTGACCCAAATATCACACTAACAAAGTTATCTTGAATAACCAAACTCAATTACGGACTCACCATTGCCCGTGCTACATGGAAATTTTAGTTACGAATAGCTAAATCTAAAACAACAACAACAACAACTCTCTTCTATTACACGACTTGATAGTGGTCAGGACTCCCGGTCCATTATCCTTGATAATGGCACTTCCTCATTTGTTAATTTTCTGATGTGTGGTTTGGTCATCACATCTTCAGCCACGTTATTGTGACACATTGTCTGCATAAAGCCAATATACCTTAATACAATACTGTATGCATAGAAGTTATCAGGTATCCAGCTAATGTCGTGGCCATCACAAGGTTAGATATTATACACTAACATGTGTATCATGACACTTTGAATAAGTAAATTAATCATTTGTGAGGTTACTGGCAACCATTATGAGAAAAGTAAGAGGCAACAACTTCAAGCTTGCCCATCCACAATGCTTGAAAACAACAGAAAATTCTTCCATGAGAGAATAATTAACCTATGGAAGGGTCTATAATGGAAGTTAGGACAGTGCTAGTTTAAAATACACTATAAAAACTTGTTTAATAAAAATGGGAAAACCTTTAGCAATGAGCAAGTTTCCTGTTCCCCATCAGTGTTAATAGAAATTGTGGTGACAGGTAGATATGTGTTGCTATACAGTATTTATAATAATATAATAATAGGTTTCTGTTTATTTCAGATAAGTGGACAAGAAGCACCTAGGCTCAAGTACCTTGCCCAGTGGCTTATGGAGCATCCTAACTATGATGTTGATCCTCAGTGGGCCGATATTGTGAAAGATCGTAGCAGTAGTGCGGGTTTTCTCTCCGATCTTCACAAGAATTTAGCAAGTGCAGAAAAAAAGCACAATGCCAGCCGAGCTTCTCTTATTTCTTCAGTGCCCAGTTATCTCCATGGCAGTACTTATTCTAGCAGCACCACTACATCCCCTCAATCCCTGGCCTCTGGCTCTAACACCACTACTACATATTCCTCGACTGCTGGAGGAAGCACTTGTGCTTTCCCTCCATCATATCATTCTTTCAGAGGCTTGCCATTTGATTCCAAGAGTCTTCTTCAGGGGCTGGACCCTAAGAGGCCCTTCACTGCTGCAGCTCTTGCTGGATTGGATCCAAAACTCTTGGGATTTGATCCTAAACTGCTAGGGAGCCTCGATCCAAAAGCTCTTGGTCTAGACCCAAAGCTGCTACCTCCGTTAGATCCAAAATTATTAGCAGCTATGGGCCTAGACCTTAAAATTTTGGGGCTAGACACGAAGCATCATGAAACAAAACATCATGAAAAAGAGAGCAAAGCATCATCTTCACGAAGCTCGGACTCTAAGTCCTCATTGTTTAACATTGATCCCAAATTACTAGGTTTTGACCCTAAATTGCTAGCAGGATTAGATCACAAAACTTTAGCTTCACTTGATCCCAAGTTACTTGCAAGTCTGAGTGGATTAGACCCTAAAACTCTGGCAGGACTAGATCCCAGAATTCTGGGTGGACTTGATCCTAAGTTCCTCACTGGACATGACCCTAAATTATTAGCTGGCCATGATCCCAAGCTATTCGGTGGCCTTGACCCTAGATCACTAGGTGGATTAGATCCTAAATTGTTAGGTAGTCTGGATCCCAAATTGTTAGGTGGTTTAGATCCTAAATTATTTGGGGGTCTCGATCCAAAATTATTGGGTGGTCTTGATCCAAGATTATTAGGTGGTCTCGATCCAAAATTATTGGCAGGACTTGATCCAAAAATGATGTATCTAGATCCAAAGATGCTCGGTTTGGATCCCATGATGTTTGGTGGTATTGACCCAAAATTATTGGGAGGCTTGGATCCGAAGCTCCTAGGAGGATTAGATCCCAAGGCTCTTGGTGGTCTTGATTCCAAGCTGTTGGCAAGTATGGGTATGGACCCAAGCATGATGATGATGGCAGGCTTTGGTGGTTTACCAGGTATGGCTGGATTAGGAATGGCAAATCCTCTGTTAGGTGGATTGGCTGGATTTGGTATTCCAGGCTTAGCAAATCTGAATGATTTCCCATCAACCTCCAAGAATAAAGACCATAGAAATGCAGCCAGTTCAGCAGCTAATTTGTCATTCCCAGGAATGTTTCCTGGTGCAAGCACAGCTGGGCTGATGTACCCACCTCTTGGCCTGGGTGGTTTAAGTTCCTTCCAGTTACCCTCCATATCTTCAGCTGCATCTACTGCTCTCCTTAATGGTCTACCTGCAAGCATAATGTCCATGGCAGGGACCTCACGTCACATGAATCAGGCTTCTACAACCATCAGCAGCAGTAGCAAGTGGAAACAAGATCAGCGTAGAACTCGAGAGTCGAGGGAAGAGCACCGCAGGATGGAAAGATTGGATCCTACAGATGAGATTGAACGAGGTATGAATATACGAAAAGAAAAATTGAAAGAGCAGACTGGGCTCTCAAAGCAAGAACTGTATTTTTTAAAACAAATGAAAGCAGAGCGGTTAGCCCGGGAGATAGAAGCTCGGGGAACTCATGATCCTTATGCAGAAGCTCGTGGTAGCCATGATCATTATGCAGATACTCGGGGAAGTCATGATCCATACACAGAAGCTCGAGGAAGTCATGATCCATATGCTGAAGCTCGGGGAAGTCATGATCCATATGTAGAAGCTCGAGGAAACCATGATCCATATGCTGAAGCTCGGGGAAGTCACGATCCATATGCAGAAGCTCGAGGAAGCCACGATCCATATGCAGAAGCTCGAGGAAGTCACGATCCATATGGAGAAACTCGTGGAAATCATGATTCTTATGCAGATGCTCGGGGAAGTCATGATCCATACGCCGCCCACTTGGATTTGTCATTACATTGGAATCAAGAAAGCCATCGAAGTGAGAGGATGCAAGATGTCCCAGAGGATTTGAGCCGTGAATCTGAACCTGCCAAACATGTACAAGGAGGAGATGCTCAAAATTTGAGCACAAAAGAAACCGAGAATAGTGAAAAAAGTGGCACAAACTCTGAAGAGGAGGAGAAGTCTTAGTGCAGTGGTGTTATGCTGCAAGTTGTGTTTGTAAGCACTAATTTAACCAGTCTTCAAAGTATCAATTGTATAATTTTAATGTAAACTTGAGACGATATTTTAGTTAAAGTGAATGAAAGTGAATTCCATGTATGCAATTTGTATGAGTGAAATAATACCACAAACCCCCACCTCCAGTTTTCCATACTACTGCTCTTCATATATCCACACATCAAATATTCACTTTGACATTTAACTGTGATACTGACCTCATTATTTATTCCATATTTTGTGCAAAAATATTATATCAGCTGTCTGACGGGAACACATTTTCCTTGTATGGTAATTTTTAATAGGCAGGGTTTGAAGAAGTGTGAAAGAATGTTAACTTTCCCATGGATGCAGTGAAAACCTGCATTATTGCAGTGTATGCTGGCTGGTACAGTGAAAGCTGCTTATTGCAGTGTATGCCAGCCGAAATTGTGAAAGTTGCATTATTACAGGTGGCATTCGTATGCAGATGATAGTCACAGTAACGTGGTTATTGTGACATTAATGCATTATTACAGTGTATGTTAGTTGATACAGTGAAAACTACATTACTGCAGTGTGTGCCAGTTGATACAGTGAAAACTACATTATTGTAGTGTATGTTAGTGCAGTAAAAACTACATTATTGTAGTGTATGTTAGTACAGTAAAAACTACATTATTGTAGTGTATGTTAGTACAGTAAAAACTACATTATTGCAGTGTGTTCCAGTTGATACAGTGAAAACTACATTATTGTAGTGTATGTTGATACAGTAAAAACTACATTATTGCAGTGTATGTTAGTTGGTACTATGAAAACCACGTTATTACAGTGTATGTTCGTTGATACAGTGAAAACTACATTATTGCAGTGTATGGTAGTTGATACAGTGAAAACTACATTATTGTAGTGTGTGCCAGTTGATAGTGAAAACTACATTATTGTAGTGTGTGCCAGTTGATAAAGTGAAAACTACATTTATTGCAGTGTGTGCTGGGTGGTACATTGAAAATGCTGCATTATTGCAGACAAATGAATTATTTTTGTTGCCTGCTACTGACGAACACAAATATTAGTGATGTACTGTATATGGATGTGAGTGTTCCAGGCTGTTGTGAGAGAGATGTTCTGCTCCTGGTGTATCAGTCAGGCATGTGTGTGTGTATCACCATTCTAGAAGCAGCTTTATATTGTATAATTGCAATTTCACACATTGAACCTCTCAAAAGTGCTTTAGGAGTCAAGTACAAGAGTGTAGAGATCTTTCCTTTCATTAAAGTGTTAGATCATAAACTGGAATCCCATGTCTGTGTATATATTATTGTTAGGACTGAATATAATTATAAGCAAACTTTTTTTAAAAGTTAAATGTAAACTAAAGTTCATTAACATTTAAGGCAACTTGGTGAGACTATTATTTTATGCTTAGCACTCCCTTCATCTACTTATGGTATCATTCCCTAGGTTTTTTCTTAGTGGTATACTCAACACTATTTTAAACTTAACATAAATGTAATCTACATACATAAAAACTGAGGAAACCGTAGAGAGGCAGCTCCTATTCATACCCAACCATATGAATTCATAAACAGTATATGTCTAACCCGCTCTTGAAACATTCCAGTTATCCAACATTATTATGTTACCTGGTAATCTGTTCCATAGACTTCTCCAGTTTGTATTCATTGTTTTGTGTTGACACATTTAGCAATTTTAAAACAAAAATGCAGGGATATTTCTGCATGGGCCATTAGTTTCTGGCTGGCCCACTATTTAGTAAATTATTATCTCCTTTGTCAAATACTTTAATTCATGTTGTTAAACACTTTAATTCATTTTGTATTTAAATCATGTATTCTCTTAATCTTTGTTTTTCTAAAGAATGCAAATTAAGTTTGCTACAAAGTCATCCCAGCTTGGCACCTTCTTTTGATAATCACTTAATCTCTTCATAAGAGATTTCTTAGAATTTATGTCTATTCTATAGTATGGTGGCCAAAACTGAACTGCATAATCTAAAGAGGGCAAGATAAAATCGAAGCATATTACTGTGTTTACTACTTTACTCATAATTTTGTTATGAATCCTAATTCTGTATCCTATTTTTACCTTATTTGCTTAAGATTCCTACTAATCATAACACCCAGATCAGAAAGAGGTGTTTTATTATATTTAATTCTGGATTTGTTTACATGTTTTTGTTAGGGGCCTCGTAGCCTGGTGGATAGCGCGCAGGACTCGTAATTCTGTGGCGCGGGTTCGATTCCCGCACGAGGCAGAAACAAATGGGCAAAGTTTCTTTCACCCTGAATGCCCCTGTTACCTAGCAGTAAATAGGTACCTGGGAGTTAGTCAGCTGTCACAGGCTGCTTCCTGGGGGTGGAGGCCTGGTCGAGGACCGGGCCGCGGGGACACTAAAGCCCCGAAATCATCTCAAGATAACCTCAAGATATGTTGGGTCAGGTTCTTTTCTGAATTTTGCTCGGAAGCAAAATCTCTGAATTCAGTGTGTACAGGGCATTATCCCAGTTTGGCTATTTTCTGTTGGAGAGGTGGTTCTCAGGATGTGTCCAGTGGCTCAAGGGTGCATGCCCAGTAATTACTAGCATGCATGTCAGAGAATCTAATTTGTATGCCATGTACAGGAAGGGGAGGAGAGTACCTAAGCCCAAAAGTTTTCTTTGACTGTGGCTGTGGAGATTATGTGCCTTTCTTGGGCTTGTAGGTTTGCCTCTCAGATGTACTTTTTGTGCCTAGTTTGTATATAAAATATACTGTAATTTTTCTCCAATCGATCGTTTTTAATGTTTTGCTTGTCTAGATGTGGCAGCAGGATCTCTCTGCCTGTGGGCCTGCGAGTTTGGACCAAAAGGCATGGCAGGACGTGCAAAATAGCCCCACGGAAAAGTGCAAGGGCATGCTGAGAGAGAACTCGAGTTAGGTTGCAAGCAGCTGCAGTGGTTAATCAGACCAGCAACCAGGAGGCCTGGTCAGAGACCGGGCCACGGGGACGTTGATCCTCTGAATCATCAACAGGGAGGTACCCCTCACCGTGCTTGTTGGTCTTTCAGGTGCTTTTGCTGGTTCTCTGGACTCCTTGCCCTGGTCTTTGGAAGTTTTGCTATAGGTCTGTCTGGTTCCTGTCCTGCCCCTGGATGTGGATGGAGGCTTGGCACAGGTCTTTGGGCAGTTTTTATTCAGTAGGTAGTAAGTGGTTCAATTTGGACAACTGGTGGTCTGTCCTTGCTCTCATGCTTTCAGTATGTTTTCTGCTTTGTGGCTTTCTTTGCCTTTGTATCATCAGCTCATATTTGGGCTTAGGGTTTTTGGCAGCCCATTCAGCTGTTGGCCTATCATTCTTTCATGAGTGTCCCTCTGTCTAGCCGTACATGTGCCCATGCTTTGACATTTACTACATGAGTGATGCTCCTCTGTCCTAGGCTTTTTCTTCTGTATTTGCCTATTCCAGGCCTAACTATACACAAAATTCTAATAGCAAATAATGTCAGTAGAGTGTATATATATATTGAGACAGATGGAAACTAAATACCCAAATGTTACAGAAGAGAACATTATTATACAATATTAATTAGGTATTACATTGTTTTAAAATGGCAAAAAAGTACAGAATACAAATCACAATGGCATGATATATCAATGAGAAAATCATTTGGAGGATTGTAGGGATATGAACCAGCATTCTAGTGACTCCCAGGTGCTTGTCTTAACCCACTTGGCCAAGATATGGAAAACGTTATTCAATCTGGAACTTTACCGAGTGTACTGTGAGAGTCTGGAGGCCCCACCTGGTGCCACAACCAGGTTTTATGAGCGTTCTTGTAACTCGCAGATGCTTACCATAACCCACCCCTTCGCTGTCCGGCCTATTGATGCCATGAGGGGGCTTGGTGGGCGGCTGCCAGAGTGTGATGCTCCATAAGACAGTTCTCTGTCTTTTTGTGGCCTTACGCTCCTGCTGCTGTCCTCACAAATTGTGCTGGACAACTTTTCCTTTTCCTTATGTTTTCGTTTTTCTCCCCCCTCCCCCCTTTTCCATTCTAATTGTCATTTCCCGCCGAACTTTTGCTGGTTTTGATCATTCTTTCGGCTTTCTTTTGTTTTGATGCCTGGGTGTTTGAGGAGGCATACTCTTGCACCCGCAGAACTGTAGTACCCAATGTCTAGAGCGAGGGGACCCTGTTATTGTCAATCCTCCTTTCATCACTGAACCCAATCTCGACAGACTGACGGTTCTTAAGGTGGCGTTTGTGGGGCATATACTCACGACTCAGTTTACCCATGTCCCCTAACCCTGATTTTATTGACCCTGATCCTGAGCTTACTTAATATACTGTGTTCTTCTTTACCTTTGTTTCTTCATTGTTCTCTGTTGCTGTCCTTTCTCTTTTTGATAATGTCTATTCTTCAATGGAATATTTGTGGATTTTATGCCAACTTCTATGAATTCCAACTTCTGATTACACAGTTTTCACCACTTTGTGTTTGTCGCCAGGAGTCGATGCTTGGTGCTCGTCCTGGTCACTTTCCTGGTTATTCCTTTCTTTCCCCCCCCCCCCCCCTCCCCATCAGCTCTTGCTGGGGCCCATAACTCTACTGCTCTCTTGATTCGTACTGATATTCCCTTTGTCCCCCTACTGTTTCCATCGCCTATCCAGCGTTCTGCTGCCCGTGTTTTTGTGAGTAAATGGTATACAGTCTGTTTCATTTATCTCCTCCCCCCAAATGTCCCGCTTTCCCTTCCTAATCTTAAGCACCACCTTGACTCCTTGCCAGTGGGGTGATGTTCTGACAAACACCCGAGGCCGCATTCTTGAACCGTTCGTCCTCTCTTCCCTGTCTCTTATGAATTCTGGTGAGCCCACCCATGTGGACTCTCGAACTCGCACCCTTTCCTGTCTTGGTTTTTCTCTCTGCTCGTCGTCCCTTTACTTAGATCTCGTCCTTGCCCCTATTGAGGGTCCCGCTTCCCAAATTTTGTACTTCCGTGACCCGCATCACTAAAGCTTTTACTCCTCCTACAGTTCTGAAACACCTTTTCCTTGAGCACTTTTCTTCACACTCCCACTCCGTTTCCATCTTCACTGATGGGTCTAAGTCTGCGGACGGTGTGGGCTACTCTGTTGTTTTTCCTGACCACACTTATATGTGTCGCCTTCCTCCAGACGCTAGCATCTTTACAGCAGAACTTTATGCTATTCTCTATGCTCTTCGTCTCCTGCTTTCTCGTTGTCAATCCTCCTTTGTGGTGATAGTTGACTCTCGTAGTGCCCTCATGGCTTTGGGGTCCTTTAATCCGATCACCTGGTGGTCATTGAGATTCAACATTGGCTGTTTCTTATCTCCAGTAAATTTAAGTCGGTAGTTTTGCTGGGTTCCCAGCCATGTTGGTGTCACTTTAAATGAGCGTGCGGAGCTGCCGCTAAGGAAGCTATCCACACTTGTCCCATTTCCCGTAAAGGTATTCCTTATTCCAACTTTTACCCAGTTAATCATTCGTTCATCCTTGCCCGTTGGCAGGGTTGTTGGTCTTCTGTTACTGGTAACAAACTGCGTACTCTTAAGCGTAGTGTGTTCCCGTAGCCTTCCTCCTACCACCGTAACCGGCGGTGGGAAACAGCTCTGGCAAGGTTGCGTATTGGCCATACTCGCTTAACTCACGGTCACTTAATGGAGTGCCAACCTGCTCCATATTGTCCAAATTGCATTGTCCCTCTTACAGTCGTGCATATCCTTGTTGAATGTCCTGACTTCCAGGACGAGCGTGTGTCTTGCTTTCCGACCGTCCCTCACGGTCACTTGTCCCTCGATAGAATTCTTGGTGAATCAGATACTTTTGATGTCGTTCGCCTTATGCATTTCTGTTCTCGTATTGGCATCCTTGGTGATATTTAGCGCCCTCTGATTATTCCGTACGTTTGATGGTGCTACATAACCTTCCCGGTTTGGTGCCTTCTTTTTGATAATTACTTTACCTTACCCACAGGCCTGAGTGTAGGCGGGCTATTCGTAAAACCTGGGTGTGGCACCTGCTGGGGCTTCCACACACTCCCAGTGGACTCTTGTTTCGGGTTGAATTTCTGTTGTCTTATCGTGGTTGAGCGAGTTAAGGCAGGCATCTAGGAGTCACTGGAATGCAGGTTAAAACGCCTGCATTGCTCCAAATGGATTGTCTCAGAAGTACAGATCTGGATTCTGCACATGAATTGATTGAAGGTTGATCGAGGTGGACTCGAGTATAGGTGAGTATAATTAACGTACGACAAACAGTGCTTCACCTCCAAATACAAATGGAAAAAATCTTCAGGCCACTAACAGCCTTTAAGAAACTCAAGTATAATTAATGACTACAGTGGGGCCAGTAGCACATTAGAGCCTCTGTTCACAACTGAGGGCCCCAGGGTTCAATCACTGTGCAGGACAGAAACAGTTTGGCACGGTTCCTTTTCACCTAATGCATCTCTACCTAGCCCAAAATTGGTACCCCGGGAGATAGGAAAGTGTCGTGGGTTGCACTGTGGGGAAGGTCAGTAATTGGTTAGAGAAACCTGAGTAAGTCTTAAGTACAGGTTACCGGTGGCCGACAACTGTGGACTTTAGGTAAGGTAATTATCAGAAGAAAGCGCTAAACCAGTAGGACTATTGTGTAGCACTTATAAGTGTCCCAGACAGGTCAGAAGGAGCGGCACGGTGTACAGCAACTTTGACCGTCGGGGATTAAACGCCGACCTGCAAGAAGCGACGCCGTCTTTGTTCTGACCAGTCTAAGTAACAGGGGAATTATTTATTAAGGTTTTGTGCCAACAGCCTACCTGACTGACGTCACGGACTTCAAATAAGGCCAATATAACTGCTCGTATGAAAATATTTAAAAATATTCATGGCAATGCTATAATATTTATATAAATATGCATTTGTTTATATAAATATAGATGATTTTGAGATAAGAAGATAGGTGGGTTGTTAATGACTAAAGTTAGAAGTGATCAAAGTTTGTGTTGTGGTGGCGGCGGCGGCGGCACGTGATGTTTACACCAGCGGCCAGGGAGGCTCCCACACTAGCTCCTCCTGCCTCCCATTATCACCCTCCCCTTCACACACACTCTCACGCCACCCTACATCTACCTCTCACTTATAACACCAACCTACTTCACCAAATACCAGGAATATTAATGGCAATATGACGGGTGTGGTTGAGACATAAGGGAGCGAGTCTACAGTAGCGTGTCTGGCAGCGAGTGATGGAGCTATGGAACAAGCTCTTCACACACCGCAGGAAAAATGAAATTACCAAGATACACAAGGTTCCGGCTCCCGCGACCCACAGGTAGGCAATGTCCAGTGCCCTCCTAAAGCATCAGTATTTGTGTGCTAAAGCCAGAAATTTAACATGTGGGAGGAGTTATTGTGTGTGTTGGCTGGCGCCCAGAGGTCATCAGCTGATTATGACACCTTGGGTCATGTGAGCGTAAAGTATTTCCTCGTCACATTATACTATAACCCACGACGCATTTATCGTTCCTGGCAAGAATATCATCGTGCAGGGTTGCTTTGTGTGTCTGCTGGGGGTTAGTGTCTTGGTGCTGCTGGGGCTAGTGTCTTGGTGCTGCTGGGGCTAGTGTCTTGGTGCTGCTGGGGCTAGTGTCTTGGTGCTGCTGGGGCTAGTGTCTTGGTGCTGCTGGGGCTAGTGTCTTGGTGCTGCTGGGGCTAGTGTCTTAGTGCTGCTGGGGCTAGTGTCTTGGTGCTGCTGGGGCTAGTGTCTTGGTGCTGCTGGGGCTAGTGTCTTGGTGCTGCTGGGGTTAGTGTCTTGGTGCTGCTGGGGCTAGTGTCTTGGTGCTGCTGGGGCTAGTGTCTTGGTGCTGCTGGGGCTAGTGTCTTGGTGCTGCTGGGGCTAGTGTCTTGGTGCTGCTGGGGCTAGTGTCTTGGTGCTGCTGGGGCTAGTGTTTTGGTGCTGCTGGGGCTAGTGTCTTGGTGCTGCTGGGGCTAGTGTCTTGGTGCTGCTGGGGCTAGTGTCTTGGTGCTGCTGGGGCTAGTGTCTTGGTGCTGCTGGGGCTAGTGTCTTGGTGCTGCTGGGGCTAGTGTCTTGGTGCTGCTGGGGCTAGTGTCTTGGTGCTGCTGGGGCTAGTGTCTTGGTGCTGCTGGGGCTAGTGTCTTGGTGCTACTGGGGCTAGTGTCTTGGTGCTGCTGGGGCTAGTGTCTTGGTGCTGCTGGGGCTAGTGTCTTGGTGCTGCTGGGGCTAGTGGCTTGGTGCTGCTGGGGCTAGTGGCTTGGTGCTGCTGGGGCCAGTGGCTTGGTGCTGCTGGGGCCAGTGTCGCGGTGCTGCTGGGGCCAGTGTCGCGGTGCTGCTGGGGCCAGTGTCGCGGTGCTGCTGGGGCCAGTGTCGCGGTGCTGCTGGGGCCAGTGTCGCGGTGCTGCTGGGGCCAGTGTCGCGGTGCTGCTGGGGCCAGTGTCGCGGTGCTGCTGGGGCCAGTGTCGCGGTGCTGCTGGGGCCAGTGTCATAGTGCTGTGGATTGTTCTTGCCTGTTAGTACTTACCTACCCATACAGGATAAGAGTATTTCTTTACATTCCTTTGATTCATTTGCAATTCCAGCTTCCACCTGTTCACTGCTAAGTGAACAGAGGCCTTAGGTGATAGGAAATGTGCCCAACTTTATGTAGCTAATTTTTCACACCTCATTTTTTTCATGTCAACCTGTTTTTTGCTCTTATTATAAATATTATGTACTTGATAATTACTTCATATTTGCTGTTACTAAATACTGTTGTTGCTATTTGTCATAAAGCATTGTATGTTATTTTTCTTAATTACATCTACTTTTGAAAATTAGTAACCATATATCCTGTTAAAGTAGCTGGTGTTCACAAGCGTCTCATGTTATTTGTAAATTATTTTAAAGTCTATCAACAATTCAATAATGTTTACATAACCCTTGTAATTTTAAGTATTCCCTAATTACACCTGTTCATTTTCTAATGTTTCTTTGTACTGTAGGTTATGCCAAAAAACTTATCCCTAAAAGCTGTAAATCCTTTGCTAAAAGTCTTGAAAAATATTTTTGTAAGCTTCTTGTTAGCATCGTGTCTACCTCAAACCTTTAAGCAACCTGACTTTATTACCTTAATTTATGGCAAAAATGCACTGCTTATTAGTGCCTTTATGCATTGTACTTGTCTTGCCTGTCTCTCTCTTTCACGGAACATATACAGTATATGTACATTTGTGTAAATAAATTTTTGTATTATTATTATTTCTCTTCCACCCGGGATTCGATCCCGGAATCCCCAATTATGAGTCGAAAACGAACCCAACTGTACTTCCGAGACCTGTGAAGAGGCTATCCTTGTCCACCTTATCTATTCCCCTTGTTTTTTCTATCCTGTATGGTTGTGAAATTTAGTTCCATTAACCTATTATATAACCTTAACCCTCTAGTTCTTTCACGAATATTGTTGCAAACCTCTGCACTTATTAAATTTTGGCTTTATTTTTCACAAGGTATGGCTTCCATGCTGGTGCTGCATATTCCTGTATTGGTCTCTCAGATGTTGTGTAGATTGCCTTGAAGGAGTTCTGATTCTAAATAATTTCTTACATTTGCCAATGTCCTGTGTGTGTTACCAATGTTATCCTGTTTGTGTGTACTTCACACAACATATCCTGTGTGTATGCTGTCTGTCTGTCTAATTCCTGTAGTTGCCTTCTTCTTATGGTGTAGATTCCACCTGGTCATCTTTCTGGCTTTTGCATCATCATTACCTTACACTTAGGATTGAATTCCAGCAACCATTTGTTTTTTGATTCCTGGAGTTTGTCAAGCTCCTTCTGTAACTTCCTGTAGTCCTCTGTTTTTACATACTTCATTAGCTGTACTTTGTTTGCAAACATTGACATATGCAAGCTCACTCCCTTAGGTAGGTCGTTAACATAAATTAGGAACAGCAGTGGTTGCAGGGTTGAGCCTTGTGGAACCCCACTTGCTACATTCCTCCAGCTTGAAACCACTTCTCTGATTGTGACTTTATTTTCTGTATTTCAGATAAGCCCTTATCTATCTTATCCACCAGCTTTTCATGAGGAACGGTGTAAAATGTTTTTGATAATTTAGGAAAATACAGTCTACTCGGTCTTCATATCTTAGTTTAGTAACTCATAAAACTCAATCAAGTTTGTCAGGCATGATTTCCCCATTCTAAACTCATGCTGACCTTATGTTGCATAGAGGTTCCATTATTCTCAACCTTATTACTGTACAGTACTTTACTTTCTCCAGCACTTTACACAAAATACTAGTCAATGACACCAGTCTGTAATATAGTGTTTCCTGTCTATCCCGTTTTGAATATTGGGACTATGTATGCTTTATAAAAGGCTATGTATGCCTTTTTCCTGGCTTTGGGACTTGTGCCAATGTTCTGCTTGTATCTTTGTGCTGCTTGTGGCATTGTGGTGCTTTTGTCATTGTGCTGCTGTGGTTTGTATCATCATGCTGAATTTACCTGAGAGCTACCAATGGGAACAGAAAGCACTTTTGTAAGCTGCCCAAAATGCTATGGGTGTTAGTGGCTTTGCAAGAATGTAAAAAAAACAATGCTATGTACTCTCGTAAACCCAATTTACCTTCTTGTATACTGTATAAATAAATAAATAAATAAATAAATAAATAAGCTAGTGGATTGCCAAAGGTCCCCCATTTTTTCTAATGAATGTTTCCAGCTGGATTTTGAATTGCAGTATTGTCTTGAAAATGTATGTACAGCTTTAGTGTGTAGGAAGTTCTATGGGCTTCCATCCCAATAGGTGAAAGTCATCTCCTGTTTTCCATCCTATACAGTGGAACCTCGTGTGACGAGCGCCTCAATTTACGAGCATTTTGAATAACGAGTGCGCCGATCGCCGACAATTTGTCTCTTGGCGAGCGCTCGTTTGATTAACGAGAAAACCACATGGTGCATTCCTGTTGCTTCATGCACATTCTCGGGCGCCTCCGACGATGCGAATAAAATATGTTTTTTGTTTAAAGGTGTTAATGATGCTAGGATGTAAAGAGGTGACTGTTGTGATGTTGCAAAGCATTGACTTATTTTTGTAGATTAAAATAATTTAAATTTTGAAAACAGAACAAATGTCAAAAAGGTTTGTTCGGTGTTTGTCAGGTAGGCTGCTCCATGTTTCTGAAAAAAAAAATTGAAAAAATTTGAAAAACTAACAAATGCATAAAGGTTCGTTCAGTGTTTGTCGTGTAGTAGTAGTGGAAATCGGGCCATATCGCTGCCGTTTTGCTTTTTCCGATGGCAGCGATATGGCCCCGAGGTTTTTTCCAAATTTTTTTCCAACAGCTTCGCTATGGCCCCAGTGTTTTCGTTACCCCAGTGGGATTAAACGGCTTCGCTATGGCCCCATATGTTTTCGTTACCCTAGTGGGATTAAACGGCAGCGATATGGCCCCATGTGTTTTCGTTACCCCAATGGGATTAAACGGCTTCGCAATGGCCCCATGTGTTTTCGTTACCAGAGTGGGATTAAACGGCTTCGCTATGGCCCCATTATTAATAAATAAATGAAAAATATAAAACAAATTGAACACATTTGAAACAAAGAAAGATTGTCATTATGGAGCATTCTACCCGACAAACACTGAACGAACCTTTATGGCATTTGTCTTTTTTTTTTTTTTTTTTTTTTTTTTTTTAAGAAACATGGAGCAGCCTACCTAACAAACACCGAACGAACCTTTTGCTATAAAAAAAAATAAATTTTTTTTTTAACAAATTTGAAGAAAGAAAAATGTCAAAGTGTATGACAGTGTATGTAAGATAGGCTAATCCATTATTTAAAACATCGAATATCATATTCATGTTTTACGGTGGTAGAACATATTACTGGTAATTTGATTTCCATTATTTTAAATGGGGAAATTCGTTTTTAAAGATGGGCGTTTCTCATAACAAGCTCGGTGCCGGAACGGATTAAATTCGTTATTCGAGGTTCCACTGTATTTTGAGTTATTGAGCTTGAAGCTGTTGCTCCTTGTTGATTTTATGTTTTATTTTCTAACAGGTGTCTGGAACAACATCATCCAAATTGTTCTGTATTTTTGAAGTTTTGATGAGATCAGTGCTGTCATGACAGGTTTAGTGTTAGTCCTGTGGCCCCCTCAACCTTTCCTGGAATGAGTCAACTTAATTCTGGAATGATTTTTTGTTGCTCGGTGTGGAACTTTCCCCAAAGCAGACATCTTTCTGAAGTGAGGTCTCCAAGCTTGGCTACAGTAATTGAGAGGGGGGGGGGTGCACCAGAGATTTAAAATAGTTGATAAGACAGAAGTGATGGGATGGTAACATTTCTAACAATTCCAATAACTGTGCCACTTCCACTAAAATACCTCGATTCAAATACGATTCTGATTCTGATTGTTTTCAGAAATAGTTGGATACTTATTTTCTGAAAATAATTTAAAATTATGACCATGGTAAATACATTAATAATACAATAGACTGATTTAAGAACAGAAAACAATTGGTAAATCCAGCTTAGTCTTCTACAGTAGAAATACAGTAACTTGATAAGTGAATACATTCCATTACACATACAGATATACATGCTTTAATTTTGTACTATACAATTAAATAAATTTTTTATTTTCATATATAGTTAATATTGCAACACTAGCTCAATTAATCACTTAGACAGCGGGCTATGATCATACCCACATACGCACAAAAAAAAAAATTCAAAATAAATTTTCAATACAGAATTATTCATTTGTATGCAAAATGTAAGAAAAACGTGAAAATAAGTAAATATTTATCGTTTCACTGAGTAGGTGTGCTCTGCAAGGCTGCGCCCGGCACTTGTCAACACCTGGTGCTCATCTTTGCTGATGCTTCCTGTTCTATCCTCGAATGTTTCACTGATTGTTTTATCACATGTTTTTCTTTAATTACATCCACAGAGAGCTATTTACTGTATATCAATATTTGCATCATTTATGTAAAACCCAGACAATAATTGTTTAAATAATCATATGATGATGACCGCATTCCCCTAGTAACATTCATGACGATAAACATATTTGTACTGTACCATGAAATGGTAGCAGGATTTTTTTAATGGGTTAAGTTTAGCTCCATTACATCCACATAGACCTATTATATCCATATTTGCATCATTCATGTAAAACCCAGAGAATAATTGTTTAAGTTGTCCTTTGATGATAACCACATTCCTCTAGGGATCATCAATAGATGATAATTGCAGCCTAAGGGCTAAATTATAGCTAATTCCTGTTTACTCAAAAAGTAATCCTTAACCACTGTGCTGCGCCAACCGAGAAATCTCGTTCTGAGAGTTGTACTTTTCTTTTTATTTAGGCTATATTTTAATGTTTTCATCACTCTGTGTTTTGAAATGAAAATGGTTGAGTTTGGAAACATTTTGACATTAACTTTACCTGAACATTTATAAAACAACAAAAATATGTCCTTAACAATTGCACTATGAAGTTTTTGCCAAAAACAGGTGCGCAGTGCAGGGGTTAATCAACAAAACATAAGAAAATGAGAAATGCAAAACAATCCATTACCCATCACAGGTTATATACAATACAATATACATGTTATATAAATGTTATATACAATTTACAATACAATCAAATTTTTAATCATTTTTCCAAAGAAAATTACATTGCAATACAGGTAGTAAAATGAAACTTTTATGATATAATACTTGATTATTAATGGTCATAATTAACATAATTTTAGTTATTACCTGAAAGAGAAAACTAAATTTTGTTATTAAATGGTAAAGAATCATTTTATGATTTGGAAAAAAATATAAATTTCTCCAGATTCCTATACCGATTCTGATCACTGAAAAATGCTCAATTCTTCTGCTTCACAATACTGATTCTGATTAATCATCCCATCATTATGATAACCATCTTCTTTGCCTTGAAGTCAAAGGGTTTGGTTGCTTTTTTATACTGCATCTCCATCATGCTGTGTAACTTTTAATGATGGATTTTGACTCCACGGTTCTTTTCCTTGTCAATCTGTTGCAAGGTAATGTTGAGTTGTTGAAGGTCTTACATTTTTCATTATTTAAAAAATTGCAAGTCTTCCTAGCACTTGTGGAGTTCCTGCTCTTACTTAGATCTTAGTGTCATTTACAACTTCGTTTATGTGGTTTGTAATATTCTCATCCATGTCAATGATGTATATGGCAAAAAGGGTTGGCCCCAAGATGAAACCTTGTGTTACCCCCACTCAGTAGAAATAAGTACTGTACTGTACTATTAAGGTCATGTACACAAATGCAGATTGAATTACAAATAAGAGAGTAGAGTTACAGGAAATAGTGACAGAAGAACAACCATATACTGTATTATTGTAAAAATAGAAATAAAACTGACGAGTGTCATAGGAAATGTAATCTTCCCATGAGGATATCGAGAAATAAGGAAATAGGAGAGGTGGTGGTGTAGCCTACTGCTACAACTACACTGGAGCTTTGAGGAAATGAAAGTGTCAGAGGAATCTGATCCACAGATCAGTATGTACTAGGAATAACAACATTTGGGGACATGAAGATAATGGTAGGTGTGATTTACAATCACCCACTAAACAACAGAAGGCCTAGGGCCTAAACAACAAATTATAAATGCAATGAGACTACTAAAGATAATAGCAGCCATAGTGGCAAGGGAAGGGGGAGGGAGAGGGGGGATGCAATGTAGCTAGTTGCTTGTTGGGTCAAGTCGGTGGTCTCCAGACAGGTGTCACTGTAGATGTGTGCTGCACTCATACAGTAACGGGTACAACACTGTAAAAAAAAAATGCATTTGAACCAGCTGCTTGCGACAGCTATTGATTGGGGAGGAAGGGAGGGGAGGTGCAGCAGATGGTAGTGATTGTGATAGCTTCGATGGAGGGGGGAGTATAGCAGATGACAGTTGGTGCCTGTGAGAGCTGTCATGGAAAGAGGGGTTCTTGTAGCAGCTTCCATGGAGGGAGAGTATAGCAGATCATGGTGCCTGTGACAGCTGCCATCTTGATTTTATCTTGAGATAATTTCAGGGCTTAGCGTCCCCCTGGCCCAGTCCTCGACCAGGCCTCCTTTTTGTTACACACCCCTAGGAAACAGCCTGTAGCAGCTGTCTAACTCCCAGGTACCTATTTACTGCTAGGTAACAGATCATCAGGGTGAAAGAAACTCTGGCCATTTGTTTCCGCCTCCACCGGGGATCGAACCCGGAACCTCAGGACTGCAATCCGAAGTGCGGTTCACTCAGCTGTCAGGGGAGGCCTACCATGTCAGACCATGGAGGGGTTGTAGCAGATGGTGGTGCCTGTGACAGTTGCCATGGAGAGGGTGTAGCAAATGGTGGTGCCTGTGACAGTTGCCATGGAGGGGGGGGGGTTGTAGCAGATGGTGGTGCCTGTGACAGTTGCCACAGAGGGGGGGGGGGGTTGTAGCAAATAGTGGTGCCTGTGACAGTTGCCATGGAGAGGGTGTAGCAAATGGTGGTGCCTGTGACAGTTGCCATGGAGGGGGTTGTAGCAAATGGTGGTGCCTGTGACAGTTGCCATGGAGGGGGTTGTAGTAGATGGTGGTGCCTGTGACAGTTGCCATGGAGAGGGTGTAGCAGATGGTGGTGCCTGTGACAGTTGCCATGGAAGGGGGTTGTAGCAGATAGTGGTGCCTGTGACAGTTGCCATGGAGAGGGTGTAGCAGATGGTGGTGCCTGAGACAGTTTTCATGGAGGGGGGTTGTAGCAGATAGTGGTGCCTGAGACAGTTGCCATGGATGGGGGTTGTAGCAGATAGTGGTGCCTGTGACAGTTGCCATGGAGGGGGTTGTAGTAGATGGTGGTGCCTGTGACAGTTGCCATGGAGAGGGTGTAGCAGATGGTGGTGCCAGTGACAGTTGCCATGGATGGGGGTTGTAGCAGATAGTGGTGCCTGTGACAGTTGCCATGGATGGGGGTTGTAGCAGATGGTGGTGCCTGTGACAGTTGCCATGGGTGGGGGGGGGGGTGTAGCAGATAGTATTGCCTGTGACAGTTGCCATGGAGGGGGGTTGTAGTAGATGGTGGTGCCTGACAGTTGCCATGGGAGAGTGTCCCTGTGTACCAGATGGTAGTCTCTTGTCACAACTGCATGGTGAGTGTGTGTGTAGCAGAGCCAGTAGATCTGTTGTGGGGGTGACCCTGTGCAACAGATGGTGGTGGCTGTGACAGCTGCAGTTGTGTAGGGGAGGGGGAGGCTGCCTCTGTATGACAGTTCATGTGACTCCTCAGTCAGCCAGGGTGCCAAGTTTAGTCACAAGACTGGCCACGTGAGGCCTGCGTGTGCTTGCTGTGCCAAGTGGCCGTGTGGTCTGGCACTGTGAGGGTCGCTCAACCCTCTCCCACTTTACCTATGGAGTACCACCCAAATGAAGTCATTATCAATGTAAATGAGTGTAAAATGTGTTGATTCCAGAGATAAATGTGTATAGATCATATGCAGTTATTGTTTACCTGCACAAGTATCCCACTGGCCTTGACTAACATAGTGTTGGAATGTGTCAAAGTTGGGGACGTGTTCCTGCCTCTGGTCGCCAGGCTGCCTCTCTTACACAAGGACTCCTGCTTTAGTCAAAATGGAAGTTTTAAGACTGTAAACAGGAAATGAAGCAAGGTGTCTGCCCCTTTAAGTAAAAATGAGATGGTGAAATTTGTACCGATATCCAAGGCATTGGTGTTATGTAAGAAGTGTGTTAATATAACCGGGTGTGACGGTGTTGGTGAAGAGTGTTTCCCTCCGTGTTTCAGCTCTCACCACCAGTCCTCGGCTGCACCTCCACCGTTCCACCTCCAGAAGGACGGTGTTAGAGTTCTCTTGTTCCGAGAGTGTGACTCCAGAGGACGCAAGTTGTTATACGACTCCAAAACTGTGGTACGAGTGCCCGTTGCAGAGAACTGGTCGGCGCCTCCTTCGTGCAAGGCATTATTGAAGAATAGCTGGAGCAGCGGACCAGCTGGCAGCATAATGCTCTCCAACACACAACTCTCACAGCACAACTCAACCACAACTTCATCCAGTAATGTCAAATCCTCAACACTTTCCTCTAAATCTGATGGCTTTGTTGAGATGAGCAGTGGCTTTGGTTATCAGGTTAGTTGCATTAATATATATCAACATTATGTAGAGTTTCTGTTTACCATCAAACTTTTAACCTTAATTTTAAAAACGGTTCAATAATAGTATTGAAATTCAAACCATTGTTTGTAGTATGGTATTTATCAAACAATTTGCAGAGTTGCAGTATGCAAACATTACTTACACTTACTGTAACTGTCTTATTTTAAGTAAATCATTGTTGCTGGCAACATGACACTAACCATGAGAATTTCAAGTGTCTTGACGCTACCTGGACGATTGTCGCTGGCAAGTGTCATTGTTGTGTCATTGCCATTATTGCAGACCATATTCTATGACCATTGTCACTGGCCATTCTGACTGGCCATTGTCACTGGCCATTCTGACTGGCCATTGTCACTGGCCATTCTGACTGGCCATTGTCACTGGCCATTCTGACTGGCCATTGTCACTGGCCATTCTGACTGGCCATTGTCACTGGCCATTCTGACTGGCCATTGTCACTGGCCATTCTGACTGGCCATTGTCACTGGCCATTGTCACTGGCCATTCTGACTGGCCATTGTCACTGGCCATTGTCACTGGCCATTCTGACTGGCCATTGTCACTGACCATTGTCACTGGCCATTCTGACTGGCCATTGTCACTGGCCATTCTGACTGGCCATTGTCACTGGCCATTCTGACTGGCCATTGTCACTGGCCATTCTGACTGGCCATTGTCACTGGCCATTCTGACTGGCCATTGTCACTGGCCATTCTGACTGGCCATTGTCACTGGCCATTCTGACTGGCCATTGTCACTGGCCATTCTGACTGGCCATTGTCACTGGCCATTCTGACTGGCCATTGTCACTGGCCATTCTGACTGGCCATTGTCACTGGCCATTCTGACTGGCCATTGTCACTGGCCATTCTGACTGGCCATTGTCACTGGCCATTCTGACTGGCCATTGTCACTGGCCATTCTGACTGGCCATTGTCACTGGCCATTCTGACTGGCCATTGTCACTGGCCATTCTGACTGGCCATTGTCACTGGCCATTCTGACTGGCCATTGTCACTGGCCATTGTCACTGGCCATTGTCACTGGCCATTGTCACTGGCCATTCTGACTGGCCATTGTCACTGGCCATTGTCACTGGCCATTCTGACTGGCCATTGTCACTGGCCATTCTGACTGGCCATTGTCACTGGCCATTCTGACTGGCCATTGTCACTGGCCATTCTGACTGGCCATTGTCACTGGCCATTCTGACTGGCCATTGTCACTGGCCATTCTGACTGGCCATTGTCACTGACCATTCTGACTGGCCATTGTCACTGGCCATTGTCAATGATGAGTGTCACTGACCTGTTCCTCCACTTAACAAACTTCTTCACTCGGGCTACTCCACACTAACCCATTACTTCACTCGGCCCACTCTTAAACTTTGACCTACTCCGTACCGACTCACTTCTTGACTCGGCTCACTCCTCACTGGCCCACTCTTAAGCTTTACCTACTCCTTCACTTGGCCTACTCCTCACTGCCCACTCTTAAACCTAACCTACTCCACACCAATTCTGATAAAGAAAAAGATCTAGGGGTGGTTCTAGATAGAAAACTATCACCTGAGGACCACATAAAGAATATTGTGCAAGGAGCCTATGCGATGCTTTCTAACTTCAGAATTGCATTTAAATACATGGATGGCGATATACTAAAGAAATTGTTCATGACTTTTGTTAGGCCAAAGCTAGAATATGCAGTTGTTGTGTGGTGCCCATATCTTAAGAAGCACATCAACAAGCTGGAAAAGGTGCAAAGACATGCTACGAAGTGGCTCCCAGAACTGAAGGGCAAGAGCTACGAGGAGAGGTTGGAAGCATTAAACATGCCAAAACTAGAAGACAGAAGAAAAAGAGGTGATATGATCACTACGTACAAAATAGTAACAGGAATTGATAAAATCGACAGGGAAGGATTCCTGAGACCTGGCACTTCAAGAACAAGAGGTCATAGATTTAAACTAGCTAAACACAGATGCCGAAGAAATATAAGAAAATTCACCTTCGCAAATAGAGTGGTAGACGGTTGGAACAAGTTAAGTGAGAAGGTGGTGGAGGCCAAGACCGTCAGTAGTTTCAAAGCGTTATATGACAAAGAGTGCTGGGAAGACGGGACACCACGAGCGTAGCTCTCATCCTGTAACTACACTTAGGTAATTACACCAGCCCACTCCTTCACTTGGCCATCTCCACACTGGCCGACCGCTATCCTCTGCCTATTCATCCACTCGGCCTACATACCACCCCACCCTTATCACCTCTTTCATTTCTATTTATTTTGTTTTAAATTTTCAGTACCGGCAGCAAGAAAGCGATACCAAGTCACTGGGAGAGCTGGTATTTGGTACCGTGGCCCTGGCGTACAGGGGCCCCAGCTCCAAGCTGCACCTCCTTCACAACCCTCTCCGTGTCCTTCTCTCTCGCATCGCTCCTGCACCAAACTCTCACCTGCGACCTTCCTGTGCCGGCAGGTCTGTTCTCATCTCTTTTTGATGGTTCAATATTTATGTTCAGTAATGTTGTGTATTTGGCCCCACTCCTATATCCTCTACAGCAGAAATCTGGTCCCTGCTTCCTAACCCTTAAGATAGCATTTCCTGGTGACCCTCTAAATCAGGTGTTGTGTCCAACCATGGGGTGGTAAGAGGGAAAATTTTGGATTTTGTAAAAAAAGTGATTAGAGATGCTACATTGTGAAGGCTGGCACAGAAGTACTTAATGTGTTTCTTAGCAAATTATTTAATGAAATCATGTTAACTAAAGCAGCATCTTGAAAAGCTTAACCCAAGGCTTGCTCCAAAGGATCCCACCTTTTTCTGGGGGGAGCCCCTACGGCTCCCTGGAGCTATCCATGGCTGATATGGATACCCTAACTATTTTGCATCAGTCAATGTGGGTGGAGTTCTAGCCTACCGGGGACCACGAGCCAGAACCTGGCCCCCTCAAAGAGGCAGGGGAGCAATGGCCCATAGAATTGCACATGTGATTTGGAGCATTCTATATCTGCCATCGACCGGGACAGGCACCCAGAAAGGTAAACGCCTCAAAACAAACCCCTATTTTGGTTAACAACGAAAATCGACAAACGAGTGGACAGAACTCCCCAAAAGAAAAAGGAGCAAACAAGCATGACATCGCACGAGCCGCACAGCATGTCTGTGCAGCTCCCCCTTCCCCGGGAGGGGGAAAGGGGGAGCCCCAGACCCCCAAACCGGCGATCCTCGCCCTAGTTCCTCGGCTAATGGGATAGTGCATGGTCGTGTGGCTCCAACTCCAGTCCTGTCTCAGTGCTGTGTCTTGTTTTCAGTGCTGCTCTTATGGTGGTCATGTGGGCTGGGAGTAGTATTCTCAGGTACTCGGGCTTCATGTGCTTAGGGTCACCTTCCCTGAGTGCCCTGTAAGTACCGCCCTTGGGGCTTGGGGTTGCCTTCCACAAGTCACCTTGGGTCTACCTCTGTTGGCTTTTCGCTGCTTGGCGTTTGGCCGCCCTGAGTGTTTGGAGGTTTTCCTCCATTGTTTACCTTGGGGTTAGTGGTAGTTATAGCACTGGTGAAGCACAGGGTACTGCGTAGCTAGTTTTCACCTATAACAGCGGCCGGCTCTGTTCCCACTGGGTACGTTGTCCTCTTGCGTGGATTTTCTTTTATTTTTGTTTTGCCTGGTGGGGGGGGGGGGGTGTCTGCCTTGTGTTTTTCCCTCCCCCTTATATTAGGGTCGTTTGTGTGGTGGCACCCCCTGCTTAGCCCTCGCGAGTGGACACGTCCCGTGGGTTCAGCTTTTAGCAGTTTGCTTGGTAGTTTGGGACGCTGCTTAGCAGTGCCCCGCCTGGGGATAACTCTTAGCAGACCAGTCTAGGGGCCCTGGGAAATCTCGCGCGGGCTCTTGAGGCCATTGGAGGAGACCCTTGCGTTCCCTCTCGCTGTGTGCGAGTTTGAGGGTTGCTCTGTCCCCTTGTCTCAGGGTGACACGCATTGTTTTTGCCTCCGTCATGCTGCCTGTTGGGTCGGTGACACATTCGACCCTGAGTCCTGTGAGCTGTGTTGCTTGTTTGTGACTCAATTCACCCAGTCGCTTTGTGTATAGGGACCTAGACTTGGTGGTGTTGGTCGCTTCGGCCTTGGTTCTGTCCGCGCCCCCTTGTTCTTCCCCTTCGGTGGTTCATTCTGTTCCCCCCCTGCTTCCGGCCCCCAAGCGTCTGAGCGCTTCCGGGTCGGGGTTGGTTTAGAGGTTTCTGAGACTCTGTCAGTTTCGAGGGTTGCCCCGTCCGGGGTGGCTACGGAGGCATTCAAATCTATTCCTCCGGCCGATGCTCCTGGGTCTGACCAGTGGACCCCCTTCTCTTCCGGCTCTTTCGGCTGCCCCGGCTTTTTCTTGTGAGGCCGGGGCTTTGGAGGACGGCTCGGCCCCGGGGCCTGGTGTAGAGGCTCCTGGGGTTGGGGAGGAGCTGACTTGAGGGCCTCGGGCTCCACTGGACCCTGCCTGGATTTTCCGTCCTTCTGAGCGGGGCTTACTGTTGCAAGTACTGTAGTGGGGTTTTCTTTCCCCCACCTCTGCGTACGATTTGATTTGAGTTCTGCTCCTCCCCGGGTTCGGTTCCATGTCCCTGTGGATTCTTCGGTTCCATCCTTCCGGAGGTTTTCAGCTACCCGCATCTCTCTGCCTGAGGTGTGGTCGGCCTTTGCGGCTTACCTCCTGCGTGACCCACAGTATGCCTCCATAATGGATCCTTCTTCGTTCAGGTTTGGATCGTCGTGTCCTTACTGGGTGCGTTATGAGGTTCCGGGTACTATGGGCTACACACTGCTGATAATAATTATATAATACTGTAATAGTAATTTATTCATAATTTTTTTACCTTCAGTCCAGTACATTTTTTACAATGAATGAGGTTCGAACCTTATGGATTTGGTTCACGACCTTCGTGGATTTGCTCATTTGATGCATCACGCTAGTGTGATTTCTGTGTGTAATTGTTTACAATATTTGTCTTCAATATTAATTGTGCATATATTATTTACAAACACTTTTCTGGAGGTAGCCCTTGTGGTTCCCAGAAGCTATAAGCTGAGATGGTTCCCATCTTCCAGGTGGCATCAGCCATGGAGTTGTTAGGCCTACAAGGAACCAGTCAGAAGCTGGCCCCCCCTCACAGAGGCACAGGGAGCAGTGACATTTCATCACTTTACTGAGGAAGGCAACCAGAAAATTAGCAAATCAAAACAAACCTCTGCTGCATTAAAAAAAAAAAAATACTAAATCCTCAACCTATCAAATGAACTCCCCAACTATATAAACAAATGATCAAATCTCTCTTAAGCTAGCATGAGCTGGTTTGCCCCACCACCCCCACTCGTTTGTAGGAGTTGGGAAGAGACTCGCCCCCTCCAGGGGTCGGAGTTGGAGTTGTCGGTTTTTATGCTGATGGTCACTTGATTGCTGTTGTGATTCCCAGGTCACCTCTCATCAGTGCGGGCTCTACTGATCAACTAAGTGGTTTTGAGTCTTTGCCTTTGGTGGCTTTTCTTGCACACTGCCGTGTAGTGTGAGCCTGGCATGTAGTGTGCTTGGAGCAGCACGTGCTCAAGGTTGCTATCCCTGTGTGCTCCTTAGTGCTGCCCCTGCATTACCAGTATTTTCTTCCCTGTAGTGTTCAGAGGTTTCTCCCATAGTGGTCCTCCTGGCTTGTGGTGGTCCTCACCTAGGGTTGGTCAGGGGTCCTGGTTGACTCCTCGGTCTTTACCCAGGTTGGGAGTCACTTTTTGCTGGAGGGGTGCACTGGCTGCAGGTAGCCTTCAGTGCACTGAAGTTGACCTTCATACCCATAGCTATGTAATCCAGGCTGTGCCATCTTACTATTTGGTCCACTGTACCATCTCCAGTTCCTGGGTGTCCTGCTTGGTTTACTCTTCATGCCCTTGTAATCTGTAGATTCGGTGGTCCTATGAATATTCTAATAATAATAATAATAATAATAATAATAATAATTTATTTAGGAACAGTACATACATAGTTGCAGCATTACAGTACAAACATTCTGTTAGATTTAAAGATAGAGGTAGTACATACAATACCTAAAGCCACAAGTACGCATAGCGTTTCGGGCAATATTTTCCCAAACTCCCCCAAACTCTCCCAAACCTGCTATCGCCTTGTGTGAGTTTTAGGGTTGCTCACTGTTCGTGCCATGGCACAACGATCACTGGTTCTGCCTCCACCATGCTGCCTGTTGGGTCAGTGACACCTTCGACCCTGAGTCCTGTGGGATATGCTGTAACACCCCTATAAAGTACCTCCAATATTGTAACATTACGAAAGTTGTAAACTAAAATTAGTGTATCCTAGACCATACTTGATGGTGAGAAGTAAAGCAGAGGAAGGGAGGGAGGAATAAAGGAGAAGAGTGGGGAGGTGGAAAGGATTAGAAAACGTGGTCGGGGAGGGGGAACTCGTCTGTGGGGCAACAGAAAACGAGGGGCGCACGGGAAGAGAAGTGGTAGGATAAGGAGAGGAGGAGGAAGGAGGAGAAAGGAGAAAGTAAGTAGGAATAGAGAGAGTATGCTGATGGATACTAATATATATACTTACTGAGTAACACTTCCTACTGGTTGCACTTGGTAACACTGTTAATGAACACTGGGGTATTTATATTTACCATAATATGAACTGACATATGGTGTACCACTGATGGTTACACCGGTAACCAAGGGTACCCTTCAAGGAAATGCTATGCAGAGAGCTTATTAAATTAACTAATCACTGCCTCCATCCTGCCTTGTCCATTAGCTATCTCAAGCAATGAGGCAAGAAACATTGCTTGACTTGGAGAGTCCTCTTTCTTTAACTGTCATTTTTTACGGGTCGGTTGTTAACAAAACTATATACTGCGGATGAGAGGATCCAACAATTGACACAGACGAAAAGTTTAACATGAGTTTATTGAGAACAAAATATTAAATTCACCAAAGATAAGCGCTACTCTACACTGGCAATTGTGATGTAATTCAGACATGGAACAATACTATCAGAGATCACACTTTACCTTAAGACCCCTCTGTCTCTCCATCCAGTGGATTCACTCTGTCTCTCCCTGGCTGTGTGATGTTCTTTACAGACCCGCTCTGGACCCTGGTATCCAGCACTCTCTCTCTAACTCTTCTACAGGGGCATATATACACACCAAAAAGGGGGAAGGGGGTGGAGATTTGCTGTTGCTACCTACACTGAAGATGCAAGAGGTCAGGTCACATGTGCACAAACATTCAAGAATTTTCCCATTAAGTTTGTGTGACATTCACCATACACTTCTTCAAGGAGGGGAATTATTAATTACATGTGTGACTGACCTCTGACCTGGCTAAAAGGGGGAGATCCATGGATGTTTACACATAAGAATCTGGGGAGTCTAATTTCATTACAATGTTGACAAGAGTATCATGAAATATTACATACTTGAAACTAGCTGACTAAGACTAGCCCAGGAATTTTTAATCAACTTGCAAGACGATCCAGAGGTCATCTGAGCTGACCTCTTGGAGAAGGCTTCCCTGGGTGATAGCTCATGGGAGGGAGGGGGAGTCATGGGTGTTACAATTCTGTCACCATGTACCTGGATTGTACCTGGATGGGGTTCTGGGAGTGCTTCTACTCCCCATACCTGGCCAGGGCCAGGTTTGAGTTGTGAGAGCTTGGTCCAACACGCTGTTTATTTGAGCAGGTAACAGGCCTATCACAGCCTAGTTGGTCTGGCACTTCTTGAAGAAAACTATGCAGTTTTCTCTTGAAAACGTCCACGTTTGTTTCACCAATATTTCTTATGCTTGCTAGGAGTATGTTGAACAACCATGGACCTCTGATGTTTGTACAGTGTTCTCTAATTGTGCCTGTGATACCTCTCCTCTTCACTGGTTCTATTCTACAGTTCCTTCCATATTGTTCACTCCAGTATGTTGTTATGTTACTGTTTTAGATATGGAACCTGGCCCTCCAGAAACTTCCATATGCATATTATTTGATCTCTCTCTCGTCTCCTTTCTAGGGTACATTTGGAGAGTTTTGAGATGATCTCAATAATTTAGGTGTTTTATTGTACAGTACCTATAAATGCTGTATGTGTTCTCTGTATTCTCAATATTTCAGCAATATCTCCTGCTCTGGAAGGGGAAGTGAGTATGGAGCAGTTCTCAAGATGGGAGAACATAATTAATTTGAATAGTACATGTATAACCATTGTGATGGGATCCATGGATTTGAAGGTTCTTGTAATCCATCCTATCATTTTTCTGGCTGATGCTATATTTGCTTGGTTACGCTCCCTAAACATTAAGTTGTCAGACATCGTCATATCCTCTCTCCCTGTATGAATATGATTTGGGTGCAGTTTTTCCCTGGGTTTGGTTCCACGTGCCTTTGGGACCATCGGGATCGTCTTATGGAGGTTTCCTCCTCCTTGGGTCCCTTCTTCTGCGGCTCAGGAACTCTCTTCACATGCAGTACCTCCTGTGAGACCTGGATTAGGCCTCTTTGATGGTTCCTTCCTCTTTTTGAGTTTGAGTCTTCCTCTCTTTTTGGATCCATTATTAGTTTCTGGAGTCATCCTGGCTAGCAGACAATCCTTTGTTTTCACTTACGGCTTGGCACAGCTTTTGTCGTATCCTGTGCTTGAATACTGTGAGGTGTTGACTGTGTTGCAGGTGTTCGGGGGGGGGGGATCTTGGTCGGCTTCACTTTCCCCTTTTCCCGCTGCCCATAATCCAGTTGCAGTGCTGCCGTCTGTTGGCCTCGAGTGACTCGATGGTTGCTCAAGGGGTTGAGCAGGAACTTAAACTTAACTGCATGATTTTCCTCTGGGCAAGGTGTGGCTTAAACGGCTATCCTGGTATCTCCAGTTCAGACCCTTTTGTTGCTGCCACAATCGTTGAATATTGGCCTTGGCCTCCATTGGCCTTTCACTGGCTACTGTGTCACCGACTTCCTCTCAGGGCTTTTTAGGGTACAGTTCCCTAAAACTTACCTCCGTTCCTCCTTCATTTCCGTAAATTGAATACCAAGTCACATTGGCATAGATAGTAATGAAAAGGCAAACTCACTAGTATAAACTGCCACTGATCTACCTGTTGTACAGGTTAAAATACCTCCCAAGTTTTTCACAGATTAAGGAGCAAATCAAGAAGAAAATACTCAACTATCAAAAGTAGCCACAGAGCCAAGGTAGCAGAAGGCAGACCCACTGCAATTTAGTACAAACAAGCCACTAGGTACTCCTCTTTCAAGCCTGGAAAAAAGCTATCCAGAGACATTGCAGTAGCCATACACAGACTCAGACTTGGCTACAAGTGCTGCTGGTAGATAATAAACCCAATAGTTGGTGTCATATCTGTGGAACAGATGCAGAGCCGCTGCTATGACACTACTTACTGGAATGGGAAGCAACTGAAGCCCTGCACATCAAACTCAACATTCATCTAACAAGAGCAGCTGTAGTAGATGCAAAATCCACAGTGGCTTCAATGGTTAGAAAAGCAGTTGAAGAATGGGACATACTAATGAACACTGTGCATCTCTATCCGCCACAAGATAATGTCATTAAAACAAGACTAAAACCAGCACGCTAAAACAGAAGCGGAAAAGAAACTGGAGAAAAGGAGGAAGCCCCACCTCCATTTAAAACTCTGACCCAAATATCACAGTAACAAGATTATTGCGAATAACCGAACTCGGTTACGGGCTCATTATAGCCCGTGCTTCATGGATATTTGGTTCTGAGTGGCTAAATATAAAAAACATACAACAACAACAACAGAGAGCCGACACATACAGCCCTGTTCCTGTGCCAAGTCAAGTCCACTACGGGCTCACCATAGCCCGTGCTACGTAGAACTGTTTGTTACAAGTAGCTGAATCTAAAACAACCTCCTCCTCCTTCTCTCAACATATTTACAGACACCTTGGCTCTGGGTTGGGGCTTTGCGACATTTGCTTACCAAGCCAGCCAGTGTCGTTGATCTCCTTGCTTCATTCGGTTCACAGTGTAGTGCAGGAGCTTGCGGCAGTGTGGTATGCACTGCTGAAGGTTCTAATTCCTCTAGTCTGTGTGTTCCAGCCCCATTCAGACTGTTCTTCCATAATTCATTGCCACAATCAGGGAGGTTCCCTTTGGTCCCTTGCCCTATGGAGCTGGACGATACAAGTAGTGCTTCTGCTGGATTTTGTGTGTATTATTCTTCGCACAGTTCACATTCAGGGAGTGTCCAACATTCTCACAGATGATGCATCTATATCTGGTATGTCCCAGTTCTTTCCAGTTAACACAGATTAGACCGTCGATGCCACCTCCTTTCTTTATCTTTATAAGACTTGCGGGCACCCAGAGGTGGACCTTATTGCGTCAGCATGAAATTGGCACCTTCTTCTATATGCAACTTCATTTTCCAATCGCAGGGTCCTTGCGGTAGATGCCTCTCGGCTGAACTGGTTGAGATAGGGGCTTTCCATACCTCTTTTCCCGAGTCCAGCTGTTGTTCTGGGTCCTGGCCATGTTGGAGTCTGGCCTGACCTGGCTGCCAGCCACCCAGCCTTTGTTTCAGGTTCTTGTTTGGTGTCCAAAGCCAGGCATTTTTTGTTCTTTTAATTTTGCTGTGTCCTCTTTGGTCTATGATTCTTTTTTCCAAGGCCTTATTTTTTGTCTCTCTTACCCCGGTTGTTGGGTCAAGAAGCTTCATGCTTTCCTTAAGAGATGTAGTTTTTGTTCTTTTGGCCCTGGTGGACATTTTATTAATTTGTGAGTAAAGAGTCGGTTGGCTTCCTGGAGATCCTTTGGGTATTGTATTGATGCTTGGTTGGTTTGGCTGGGGTGCATCATGTCCTGTGTCCAGTGGTGGCTCTATGCTACTACCCTTGGACCACTGATTCTGCTTCAGTGGACACTCTGTGGGTTGATCATGTTTCCTTGGTTCCCTATTCCAAGGCTTGTATTTCTAAAGTTGTCTACAATGTTGTTAAGTTTAGCCAGCCTGTGATCTACTCTTGTGCCCATGAAGTTTGGAAATTTGTTATTTTTGCTAATATGTGCTGGATTGATATTTGGGTGTTGGGGTTTTGGTAGTCTTACAGGGTTCTGGCTGCCCAGCATTTGCTGAATGTTCCTAGGCTTTGGCATCTTTTTGTGGCCCTTGGGTCGTAGAATTCATCTGGGGGTCTCTTCTTCATCCTGACTCCTGTGGATTTCCCTTCTTCCTGGTAAGTTTCTATGTGTTCTTCCTTCTCTGTGGGTAGTTAGCTTCAAGGAGCCTGAAAGGGCTGCCTCCAGAAACCCAGCATTGAATGTAATGAAATGCCTATTTCTGGGTGAGACAAGAGGAGGTTGGGTGAATGAGCTCATGCTGGTTTTGAGTGTTTTGATCATTTATTTACATAGTTGGGGGAGTTCATGAGCCTCACAAAGCCTTACAAAGCAGGTTGTGAGGCTTTGATTTTTTTTTTTTTTTTTTTTTTTTTTTTTTTTTTTTTTTTTTTTTTTTTTTTTTTTTTTTTTTTTTTTTTTTTTTTTTTAAACTCAGCAGTGGTTTGTTTTGACTTGCTGACTTTATGGATTACTTCCCTGGTGGGATGGCAAAATGACACTGCTCCCTGCGCCTCTGTGAGGTGGGGGCCAGGTTCTAGCCCTGGTGCGACTTTGTAGATGGGGACCATCTCGGTGTATACAGATAGTCACAATAACGTGGCTGAATGTTGACCAAACCACACACTAAAAGATGAAAAGACAACAACATTTTGGTCCGTCATGGACCAATCGACTTGATAATGGTCCAGGGTGGACCGAAACGTTTTTGTCTTTTCATCTTCTAGTGTGTGGTTTGGTCAACATCTCGGTGTATAGCTTCAGAGACCCACTAGGGCTCGCCTAGAAAATAGGTACAGTACCTGTATTTCATGCCCAGAAATAGGTATTTCATTACATTCAATGCTAGGTTTTAGAATTTCATATGTTTCCATCTAGTGATCAGGGGATAGAAGATGCATCATTCAGCAGTTCAATCAGCTCGTGGAGTGGAAGCACTTCACGTACAGAGAGCCTTGAAGCACCATGGGGACCTGGAGGTTTTGGAGGAACCCAAACTTGGGCAGTGGAAATGCCTCATTTACTTAGCACATCTCACAGTGAAGGGGATTCAGGATTTGGTGGGCCCCCGTCTCCTTATTCTTCCACCTGTGGCTCGTTTCTTTCTCCGCCATCTATACCCAACACCCCAGTAGGCACACCCTCCTCACGCCAAGGTATGTTGCTTCTTGTTATGGTTGTGCTTTTTTGCTATTATTGCTCTTAATGTCCCTTCTCATGTTGCTTTATTAGGTGATGTGTTAAATTTAAATTATCCTTGTTATACTTACGTATTTTCTGAAATAAAATTGAATAGCAGTAAACCTAATCATGCATGTTTTCAGAATACAGTACAGTAATACAGTATGTATACTGCTGCTATAATATACTATTTAGATGATCTAAATAGGGTTTTGAAATGGTCAAAAGATTAACAGATGCAATTTAATGCTGACAAATATAAGGTTTTGAGGCTAGGTAAAGATGACATTTACTAGATATGAGCTAGATGGTGTTGAGATTTCAAAGTCAGATTGTGAAAGGGATAGTAAGAATTTAAAACCAAAAAATCAATGCATAAATGTTCGTAATAAGGCAAATAGGACACTGGGATTTATTTATCGAAGTGTTAGTAATAAGACACCTGATGTTATTCTTCAGCTATATCTTGCTCTTGTTAGGCCTCATTTAGATTATGCAGTTCAGTTTTGGTCACCATACTATAGAATGGATATAAATTCACTAGAATGCATCCAGCATAGGATGACAAAGTTAACCCCCCAAATTAGAAACCTGTCATATAAAGAAAGATTGACAAAGCTTAAATTACATTCTCTAGAAAGGCAAATAATTAGGGGTGACATGATAGAGATGTAGAAATGGATTAATGTACATAACAAAGGGGATATTAATAGAATATTAAAAGTATCAACACAGGACAGAACATGAAACAATGAACAAATCCACAAGGGCCGTGACGCAACCCATCCTCTTAAAAATAAGGTCACTTTTTGCTTGTATGCGCGCTATGGCCAAATTTGGACGTAATTTGAAATAAAATCAATTTGCAAAAGTGACGTACTGTTCCGTTTTCTGTTTGAGTCGTCCGGCTTACTCGGCAAGGCTAAAACAGGCAACTTTCAATTAACATGTTTTTCATAACGCTTTGAAACTTTATGAGAATTTCCTGCCCGCCTAACCTATCAGAGGACCCTTAACTTACTATTGTTGAAAAAAAATCCCAAATTTATTTAAATATTTTTTAATTTTCAAATTACGTCCACTTTCGGCCATACGGGTAAACGGCCAAAAGCGACCGCTATTTTTAAGAGGACAGGTTGTGTGACGAGGGTTCGAACCTCGTCATGGTTTGAACCCTCGTCACGGCTATTGTGATTTCTATGTGTAATGAAACAAAGGTTATAAATTGAATAAGTTTAGATTTAGGAAAGACTTGGGTAAATGCTGGCTCGGTAACAGGGTTGTTGATTTGTGGAATCAATTACTGCATAACATAATAGAAGTAGGAGCCCTTGATTGTTTCAAGCATAGGTTAGACATATATATGAATGAGATTGGGGTGATTATAAATAGGACCTGCCTCATATGGGCCAATAGGCCTTCTGCAGTTACCTTTATTCTTATGTTCTTATGTTGACTCACTATGACAAGTGTCATTACAAGGTAGGAAGTCACATGGTAATTGTTTGATTTCTTCCAGGATCAGGCAATAGTCTCAAGCATTCAGGTAGCCTTAATAGCCTACAGCGGCGCTTTTTGCACAATGTCAACACCTCTCTAGAAGCTCTAGGACGTGATAGTGAAATGCAAGAGGAAGGAAGTAGTTCCTCACTGCAGCCTGGACGTCGTGCCACCAAGTTGGGCATTGCTGTCATTATTCAACTTGGCAATGGTGTGTCTGAACTTGAGAGGTAAAAGTATTGATTTTGACACTTCATTCTCAACATTTCATTTCTTATTTCCATGGGGTGAGGAAGGCATTTGCTCATTGACAGCAAAATAATACACTACCGGGCTACTCATGCCCATGTCACCTCTTGGGTGACTTAATCTTCATCATCATCATCAAAACAATATAATACAGTATAACAAAATAAAATTGAGTACAATAAAACATTCCTCAGTGGTTCCCTAGAATTTGTAATGTACAATATATGATTTAGGGTGACAACATTCAAAGAGTGTGGTGCTTTTTAATGTTTATTTGATAGGCTTGATTACAGCAGTTAGATGTTAGAAATAGTTTGTCATGATAAATTGAGATGAGGATGCTTGTTATGCGCTATTGGTGGAGTCGATGCTGCTGGCAAAGTCAGGCAGGACATAGTGCTGAACGTGGCCCAAGACAGAGATCTTGTGCAAGGCCTGGAGCCAAGAACAAAGCGCTTGAGTGAGGCTGAAACTAGAGCTTGAATGAGGCTGGGGTGGGGGGTTCGGATGACGTGTAAGAATAAAGAGTTTGAATGCAGCTGGGAGTGGCTCTCTCTAGCATCTGGTTTGGGCTTCTAGCATCTAGTTTGTGACTTTAAATTCAACTCGTCGTGTATTACATCATTTGCTGATGAACATCAGTGGTGTTGGAGAAGATCCACAGTACATCAAGAGCATTTGCCACAGAATCACTGGTACTTGCCTAAATGTACTTGCTGGATTGAACTTTGGCTCTTTGGTCCCGCCTCTGAACTGTCAATCAACTGGTGTACAGATTCCCGAGTCTATCGGGCTCTATTATATCTACATTTGAAAATGTGTATGGAGTCTTGACATTACCCTGACACTGACAAAATTCTTTCTAATGTCTCTTTGGCTCATTTGGGTACTCAGTTTCCACCTGTCCTTTTGTTCATGTTCCACCCATGCTAAATAGTTTCTTTGTTCACCCTGTCAATTCCTCTTGGAATTTTATAAGTGGTGATTATGCCTCATCTTACTCTTCTGTTTTCAAGGGATATGAGGTTTAGTTCCCATAGCCTTTCCTCATAACTTATATCTCTCAGTTCTGGGACTAGTTTGGTCGCATACCTCTGAATCTTCTATAAATTTGTCTTGTGTTTAACTAGGTATGGACTCCAGGCTGGAGCTGCTTACTCCAGGATTGGTCTGTCATAAGTGGTATACAGGGTTCTAAATGATTCACTACACAAGTTTCTAAAAGCAGTTCTTATGTTCACCAATCTAGCATATGCTGCTGATGATATCCTTTTGATGTTGGCTTTTGGGGACAGGTTCGATGTGATATCAAACCCTCTGATCTTTCTGACACTTGCAGGATTTCTCCTCCCATGGCAAGATGGTACCTTGTGTTCAGCCTCCTGCTCCCTTCATCTAATTTCATTACTGTACTTTACACTTACCTGAGTTAAACTTTAGTAGCCATTTTCTAGACCATTCCTCCAGGTCGTCCTGTAGTCTGTATCTATTTTCATCTGTCTTGATTCTTCTCATAATTTTGAATCAGACATTGAAAGGAATGAGTCTATACCCTCTGAAACCTCAGAGGGTATACCCTCTATACCTTCATTTACATATACAGTACAGGTATCAGAAATAGAATGGGTCCAAGTACAGAGCCCTGTGGGACTTCACTGGTGACATCTCGCCACTCTGAGGTCTTGCCCCTCACAGTTACGCAATGTTTTCTGTTGCTTACACTCCCTTATCAACGTGAGCATGTTATCTTTTATTCCTGCCTGTTTCTGCAACTTTTGTAACTGCCTCTTATGGGTTAGGCTGTTATGGTAGATAGGTTGTGGTGGAGTTGACTGATGATGCTATGTTCCTGATTGTCTTCTGTCCATGCTTCACCTAACCTGTTTCCTGGCCTAAACTGCTGTAAACCAGCTAATGGGAAAGCATGCCAGACTGGAACTTCTGGGGAACCTCTAATAATCAAATTGCAGATGTCATTAATGGTTAGTGAATACGATTGCAGGTGCCATTAGTCATTATGGGGATGAGTAGTTGAAACATTAGAGGTAATATTGTTTGCTACAAGTTTAAGCTCTTGTACTCCAGGGCCAACACTCTTTCATTCCTCTCATCTCTTTCCTGACTGGACCCAGTTACTTGCTTAGGTAGAAACTGAAGGATCAGATCAGAAAGAAGCATTTCATTCCACTCAGTCCCTTGTATATACTAAACATTTGCAACAAAATCAATGTGTCTTAAAACACAGTGATAAAAATTTTGAAACTTATCTTATCTCAATTTAAAATGCTTATTTATTTCAATTAAATGCAGGCAGTTGGAAGAATGGATATTTCTTCACCTTACTGTAATTGAGTCATTAATGAATAAACTGCAATCATCACTGGATGCTGCGTACTTGCACCGCCAAAGCTTCGTCTCCAGCACCCATCAAGCGGTGACACAGCTTCAGCAGGTTAGTGTAAAAAACACTCATCAATGTTGTGGAATTTGGTACCTACAAAGTTAATAATGATCATGCAGCAAGTTATATGGCATTTACTGCAGAGCATTGACTCCAGTGTTGTTGTAACTTTGATCAGTAATTGTTGCCTGTAAATATCATTTCATCGTCATTTCTTAAACTTGATCATGGTAATAGACTTTGACTAGAGGCAATCAAGCATACAAACTAAATCGCATTTTTCACTGTAATGACTTCATGGTATGATTAGTACCTGTATATAGTATTAGTTCTCCTTGAAATTGTCTTCTCGTCATCCTAATTGTGTGTGTAATTACCTAAGTGTAGTTACTGAATGAGAGCTACGCTCGTGGTGTCCCGTCTTCCCAGCACTCTGTCATATAACGCTTTGAAACTACTGACGGTCTTGGCCTCCACCACCTTCTCCCCTAACTTGTTCCAACAGTCTACCACTCTGTTTGCGAAAGTGAATTTTCTTATATTTCTTTGGCATCTGTGTTTAGCTAGTTTATATCTATGACCTCTTGTTCTTAAAGTTCAAGGTCTCAGGAAATCTTCCCTATCGATTTTATCAATTCCTGTTACTATTTTGTATGTAGTGATCACATCACCTCTTTTTCTTCTGTCTTCTAGTTTTGGCATATTTAATGCCTCTAACCTCTCCTCGTAGCTCTTGCCCTTCAGTTCTGGGAGCCACTTAGTAGCATGTCTTTGCACCTTTTCCAGTTTGTTGATGTGCTTCTTAAGATATTGGCACCACACAACCGCTGCATATTCTAGCTTTAGTGTGTGTGTGTGTAAATAAATAAGTTTATGATTCTGATTGATATTATAGTAAACTAACAAAAATTAGTTTTAACTCTTTCTTTTTTTGAGGAACAAATTACAATGTACAGTATGTACAATGTACATACTGTACATTGTACTTTGACCCAGAAATGCTATGGAGAACTCAATGGGAAAGGGCCATATGCTATTACAGTATTATTATCTGTAAGAAAATTCATAGGTACATTAATACTAAAGTAATGCATATTATCTTTATTTTCTTCAGGATATAATAGATATGGTGAGTGGGCCACGATTGTGCCGACCTGTGTGGTTAGGACTGCTGGGGAAGCCCTCGGCAAGTGATCGGCAAGCCCTTTGCTCCACCTTCGTCGATACCCTTGCCTCAGTACTTAACACTTTTGATACCAAGCAGACAAATTTGTAAGTTTAAATATATTTATTAAACTGAGTATATATTGATATTTATTGAAACTAATGTCTGAAGCATTTTATTACTCATTGGGGTTACGGTACTTACATAAGAACACAATAATAAAAGAAACTACAGAAGGCTTATTGGCCCATTCAAGGTAGTTCCTTTTTATACCTCCCCACTGTCATATTTTTGTCTAACCCAAGACTGAAATGATGAAGCGATCCCATGTCAATTATGTTACCTGGCAATTTGTTCCGTAAATCAACAATTCTGTTCTACCAAGTTCTTTCCTAAATAAAAACTTCTCCAACTTTTCTATTGTTCTGTTTTCTGTTGATATATGTAATGCTTATTAATATTCTCTTTGTTATACTCCTTCATCCATTTGTGAGCTTTAATCATGTCATCCCTTAGTACTTTGCCATTCTAGATAATGTAAATTATGCTTTAATCTCTTTTTTTTTTTTTTTATGTGGAAGTATTCTAATTCTCGGCATTAAGTTTGTCATCCTTCACTGAAGGCATTCAAGTAAATTTAGGTTCATTCTATAGTATGGCAGCCAAAATTGAACTACATGATCTAAATGGGACCTAACAGGAGGAAGATGCAATTGAAAAATAATAGTTATTGTTTTATTGCTAATACTTCTAGCAATAAAACCCAGTGTACCATTTGGTTTATTCTGAACATTTATGCATTGGTTTTCCTGGATTGCTCCACTTAAGTAAGAGTCATACTAGGCCCGTGTGAGTCTTAAAAAAGCATATTAGAGACAAGAGGCCAAAACCTAGTAACCTCACAGAGGCACAAAGAAAAGGGGATTCAAGGTCATTCTAATGAAAGGAAAAGCAGGTGTGGTGAACCAAAACTGAGAACAGTTAGATAAAATGAATTTAATACCCCAAGAAAACAAAAATGGGAAAAATAAATCCAAATAAAATGGTTTAGGGTAGAGTCAAGATGACACAAAAAAATGGGGAAACTCAGCAGGCAACCAGTTCTTTCTAGTTTCAGCCCATCACCACCAGGTTGCCATCCTCAGCTGCAGGCCACATGGTCAAGTTAATTTTAATCCGATGAGAGATTTTTTTTAAGACTTGCAAGAGCCTGGTATGTGTGAATCAAATTGGGTGAAATTATCCAGCATGTATCAACAGGGAAACCACCAGAGAGGGGCATTTCATTACATTCAATGCTGGGTTTTTAAATATTAGTACTGTATTTGATAATATAATTTGTAAAATAATGTCATATTTAACCCCCTAACTGCGTTGCCTCTAAATGTGACACCCCCGCAGTGCGCAGGAAATAAATTCTCTGGAAAAAATTATTTTTTCTTTTTAAAGTGTCAAAAACCCTTCCCTGAGTATGGGTATGTAAAAAAAAATTCGAAATTGTACTTACTTTGGGTGCTATGGGGTCCGGAAGTTGGGGCGTGACGTCATCATTCCCCGTGCGCCCGTGGTGTAAGCTCTCAGAGGCAGTGGGGCGCTCGGGCGGGGCGCGCGAGTTGCCGCGAATATATTTTTGTTCATTTATTGCGCACATTTCCCAATACATTTTCATTGTTTTTATGTGCCAATTCAATGTATAATGAACACGTACACTATAATATCGCAGTACAACATCCGTACTGTCCGTAGACACTGTGTTACGTGCATCACAAACAAGTTCACTTATCCTGCACAATTTCCAATGTATCATGCCAAATAAATTTATATTTACACTTTATATACACACTGTACAGTATCACACACTATATACACACACCATAAACACACTCAGTACTCCGCGAGTGTGTGATATGCTGCGAAACAGCCAACGGGGCAGAGTGGCACCTTGCACTCCACGCACCAGGTGCTGATACATCTTCGTTTCTGTTCTCTGCGGGTAGTGTTCCTGCATACTATACAGGCACGTTTACCCTTCTCCCGTGATGCTGTGCCTGGCATATACTCGAGCATATGTACTCCGAAGTTCTCATTACCCCTCAATCTGTCTGGAGCTGCATGTGGCATTGTTGCTTGCACTCCGCGCGGTACAACAGAACCCTCCTTGCCATACTTTACTAGCAGCTGTGACACAACACCAGCACTGAATGTACGTATAGATGGTCTCCTGCCAGATTTTACTAAGTACATATTGAAGCAGTTGAGCACTGCAACATCCATCAGGTGGAAGAAGAACTTTTTAGTCCACTTCACAGACTTGCGCACGCACTCCACTCCACCAAGCATCATGTCACACTTATCGACGAGGCGCATGTTCACGTTATAGTCTGACACAGTCTGGCTTATACACGGTGTTGCGTGTCTGAAAGTGGACTTTCCCACTGTCCAACATGGCACCGGTGTGAATCGTACTCAGCATATTCACCTCGCGTCTGTCCTTCCACCGCACTGACAGCGTATTGTCACACTTGCGCAGCTGGCACTCACCCACGGCTATAGCTATACCGAACACTGGCATTTCCTTCCTATGGCTCTTCACAGTGCCACATACGCCGGTGTTGTGGGCAAGGAGGTATCTGGTCAATAAGGGGCTGGTGTAATAGTTGTCGTTGTACAGTACATGCCCCTTGTTCAGCAACGGTTCCATCAGGGTTTTTACAACACTGCCAGAGAACCCGTGTTCATCTTGAGCCGGTATGTCGACGTCTGTACCAGAATATAATATCATGTCCAAGACAATACCAGTCTCACAGTCGCATAGCACAAAAAACTTCAGTCCAAATCGGTGCCGCTTTGATGGAATGTACTGCTTGAATGCCAGTCGCCCCTTGAACAGTACAAGCGACTCGTCAATAACCACATTCTGTCCAGGTACAAAATAATCCCTGAACTTCCCTCTCGTGTCACTGAACAACTTCCGTACTTTCCACAGTCTGTCGTGTCTGTCCTCATTTGCATTATTCTCGAAATGCAGGCACCTGAGAATCAAGAGATACCTATCACGCGACATGTACCGGTTGAACACAGGCGTTGGAACAAGGCTGTCTTTGCTCCAATATTCCTGGATGACAGCTTTCTCAGAGTGCTTCATCATCATGGTGAGTGCCAGAAACACGTACATTTCGTCGATTGTCGTGTCCTTCCATCGTGTGAGCCGTGAGGCAGGTAAAATGCCTTCGTCTATGAGGCTGTGAGCGAACCTGTTTGTCTCAGTCACAAGATGCGTCATGAATACATTGTCAAAATATGCCTGAAAATATTCCATGTCTGCCATATCATCACCAGTATATGGGAATAATGGTGTAACACCAAAATCGCTATCATCAAATGTTGGTATTTGAGGGGCAAATGTGGTGCAATCCTCCCACACAAGTACACCAGGGGGTTTAGTGTTGGCGCCAACACCACGGCCAACACCACCACGAGCACCAAAACTATGGCTACGTCATCCGCTGCTTCTGCTGGAGCTGCGTGAGGGTATGCTAGGCGCTGAGGCAGATTTACGTACTGTAGACCTACCACGAATAAATGATGTTGAGGGGCCACTGTCGTTGTCCACATGCTGTGAGGCACGCTGCCGCCTGCCGCGGCGTGTTGCTGAGGTAGCAAAACCCCGCCTGGTAACACCACCACTGCTCGTACTCGGGTCGTCCACACTACTCGTATCGGAGCCAATGTCACTGAAGCCTGAGAAAGATTCGTCACATGTACTATCACTGAATAAACTACTAGCATCTGGGGACATACATGATGGTGGTGATGATAACGGTGTTGACCCAGGGCGGCGAGGCAGGCCGGGCGAGGCACGAGTACCCCACACACTCGCCACATTTCCAATTCTGTCTCTTCCTCACTCGTATCAGATCTCTGAGTTAGGTCTTTATCTGGATCATAGTCCAGGTCATCATCCAGAGCACCGTCATCATACAAAATATCGCGTATTTCCTCCTCAGAGAGTCGTTTTCCATGACCCCGGGTCACCGTGGAGCGGGAGCTCGTAGAGGATGCGTCAGACATGGTTGCTGCCGTGAAACTGAGGCTCCCCACGGCCGCAGGGCATGCTGGGATTTTTTTTTAAGATGGCGGACGATCACTGGGGCCCCCACCCACCCATACCATACCCGCGGGTCACCGCGCGCCAGTTTTGAATGGAACGTGAAAAATCAAAATACCTGGAGGCGCGTTGCGCAAACCAGACGCGAGCCTGCAGACGCGTTGCGCAGTTTAAGGGTTAAGTCTAAAGTGATATTTAAGTAACAATATTACAATGATTTTTTTTGTGGGGAGCCCTGTCGGCTGCCTAAAACTGTCTGAACTGATATGTGCTATATTAGTTTGGGGTCATCAATCACAGGAGTCCTTATGCCATCCACAATAACACCGTAAGGTAGGCCGAGCGTTGCCCGTGAGTGCACAACCACACTCCAATGTTTTTACTCTTTCCAAGTTTCTCGCCTCCTTTTTCGTGCTATATCGTTCATTTTGGTAACAAATTGTTCGCAATAGAATACTTTAAAGGGAAATATGCATATAAGGTCAAATAGAAGAAAAACATTACCAATACCATAAGATAAAGTACATCGTCATATGGACACCCATGCAGCGATATGATGCTACGTGGGGTATACAGAGAATGGGAAGACGTTGGCGTGTATTTTAAAACGTCTCATAATAATTGGACAATAAATGGAATTTTTTTAAATATTTTAATGCAAGGTAAACCCTTGTCACATTTTTCTGTTTGCTGTTGTGTTCTTTTTCAGATATGCCTTCTCTTCTGAGGCATCACTGAGTTAGCTCATGATGCTACCGAGGAACCATCCCAGAAATAATGTTAAATGTAATGAAATACCCTTTTCTGGTGGGAGCCTTCAGTAGCTAACATGATGGCCATGTTCTCTTCTTTCCCACTGTGTAGAGGTGTTACACTGGCAATAATCATTTACCTCGTTGCCTGAGATTACCAAATTTTCTTCAAGCAGTGGCTTGTTTTGTTGCTTATGCTTTATATTTTTGTTTTCATGGTATTGTGTTGATCTGTGATCCTCAAGCTCTCCTCAGCTTGTAGAGAGAGAGCTCTATTCTGGTCATGGGCCCCGGGAGGTTAGGGTGGGTTTTAGAGGCTTGGTGCATCTAACACTTGACTGCACTAGCACTTAGCTCCAGAAGCTACCAAGGGCCCAACAAGAAAAAGGCATTTCATTATATTCAATTTTAGATTTTTGCTTGTACTGTACCATATTGTATTTCTGTCCCTCTCTGCAAGGAACAATTAAGAACATGCAGCCACTCATATTGTTTATCTTCAACCTGGTGAGGTGAGAAGATGTAGTATGGTTTAATTTAATGAGAAAGAATGTATGAAATTCAAAATGTACTCTATCTGTAACAATTCACATTTTAATTGGGATATATACATTTCTAGCTTTGTGAGCAAGTTATTAACGGCAGTATTAACCCACCATCTCGGGTGGGTGTCGACAGTTGCTCCAGCGGACCAGGGGGCTTCCTCAGCAGCAGGGAACACCACTGTCTCCTCAGCAACATCTGCATCCTTTACTGCTCTCACTCATCCATCATGGGTAAGCAGCATCACACATTGTGTCTGGAAAGTGCTGGCTTTTTCTGGGGAAAGCCCCTTTGGCTCCCCGGAGCTATCCAGGCTGATATGTATACCATTAGACTATGGCATCAGTCAGTGCATATGGAGTTGTAAGCCTACCGGGGACCACGAGCCAAAACCTGGCCCTCTTAGAGAGGCATGAGGAGCAATAGCCTATAGAAATGCACATGGGATTTGGAGCATTGTATGTCTGCCATCGACCGGGTCAGGCACCCAGAAAGGTAAGCACCTTACCTTTCGGGTGCACAGGCTGGCTGGTGGGCAGGAAGATGGGTGGGTGACTGTTAAAATGCTTCCCTACCCATACCTCCATTCACACCCACCCTACCTTTGCCTTCCCTCCATCCACCACCAAAGATTTGAACTACACAATCTTGGTGTACCCATGGTGTAGTTTTAAATCTTTACATAAAATACATAAATACATAAGTGTAGGTAGTTGGTCCTATACATGAGAATATTACAAGCAGCATCATCAAATTTGCAGACGTCACTTAGATCTATTGTAAAGTAGAAAGTGAAAATGATATTGAGGCCTTACAAAGTGATTAACATTATCTCCACTAATGGTCAGAAGATGGACAGATATTTTTCATTATTGAAAATGCAAGAGCTTGCATGTATGGCATAACAATACACATCATAACTATCATATGGACAACACTATCATGCAGAAGAGTAATGAAAAAAGGACCTAAAAGTTAGGATCCACTAGTCATTGAAAGTGGATTAACTAATACTGTACTGTATAGGGAGTTGCAGTAAAAGAAAAGTCAAACCTTATGAATAGTCAAATGAACCTTAGACTTCAAAGAAATAAGAAAGTGGTTATTCAACTGTTCAAATCTCTGGTGCCCCCATCAGGAGTATTGTATCCAAGAACAGAGCCCAAAAAAGCCCAAATTCAACACAGCCCAAAAAAGATCATCCCAGATTGAAGCCAATTCTCATACCAGGGATAGTTAAGGGCCACAGGGTTAACAACACTACCAGCCAGACATGAGACTGCTTATCTCAAGACCTTTAAAATAGTGAACTAATTGGAATTATTAATCCACACCACTTCCTTAAAAGGTCAAATGAATGCATACAAGGAGCAACAACTACAAGGTCAAGAAGCCACAATGTAGGACAGTAAACAGGAGATGTGTTTTTACCCAAAGGGTAATAAAACCCATGGAATCATCTTCCCAATAAAGCCATAAATGGCAAGACATTATTTATTTTTAAAATCCAGATAAAAGAAATCCTCAGTAACAATGGGGGAGACCTTTGACAAGCTACCCGTTTTCTGTCCATATCGAGGTCAATAATGATGGTGACCCTCGGGTAAATTATAGGGTATGGGACGATTATTACCACACCTATCACTGGGTAATGGGTATGGGACAATTATTACCACAACTATCACTGGGTAATGGGTATGGGACGATTATTACCACACCTATCACTGGGTAATGGGTATGGGACAATTATTACCACAACTATCACTGGGTAATGGGTATGGGACGATTATTACCACACCTATCACTGGGTAATGGGTATGGGACAATTATTACCACAACTATCACTGGGTAATGGGTATGAGACAATTATTACCACACCTATCACTGGGTAAAAGATATTGGGCGATTGTTATCACAGGGTAAAGAATATGTGAACAGTTATGAAAATTCAGAAAGGCACTCAATAGATACAATAAAAAACAGTAATGGACAAACAAAAGTAATTGCAAGCCTAATGTTGACTGGGTGATGGCAGTGAAGCAGACCTTCAAGAGACACTCCAATGTGTACATGGTCAAACACATGTTAATTAACACCTGTTATGTGATTGCCAAATGTAATTTTGTAATTATTTGCCAAATGTAATTTTATAATTATATGAATTATATTTTATAGAGAATAGTCATTATTTGTGATTGTGTACATTCATTTCCTTAATATAATTTTAGGTTGAACGCCTCAATGAATCTCATCCGTATAATGCTGTCTGGGCACAGCTGTGTGAATTGAATGGTGCGGTGGGGTACCCTCCTCGTGCAGCTCGGACACTTCTTGTGGGCTCCAATGCTACCCTTCTGGCCCAGCTGCTCACCATCCTGTCATATGTGATTCGCTGTTCTCAGGTATTCTACCCTTGTACTACTATACTGTACACTACTTCTTAGCAGACCTGAAATACTGTACAGTACTTACTCTTATGATAGGTCAGTCTTAACCCGAGTACTGAGCAGCCCATGGTGCACAAAAACAAAAATTTGTTTCCTTTCTGATGTTAAAATATGTTTCCTGATCAAGTAAAAAAACAAAAAAATATTGTGTATGACATATTATGCATAATTGCAAACCACTAAGCTTTTCTGGTGAATGTAATGACCTTATAACCAATTATCAGAGTTCAGCAGAGTCCGGTATTTGTTTTCATGAAATTGTATCAGAGCGTATTGAATATATCATATTTTCTTCACTTTGTAATTGTTTTTACCATGTTTTCTGTGGGGAGCCCCGTCGGCTCCCTGAAGCTATCTGAACTGATATGTGCTATACAGGTATTAGTTTGGGGTCATCAGTCACAGGAGTCCTTATGCCTATTGGGAACCACGAGCTAGAACCTGGTCCCTTCAGAGAGCTGCAGGGAGCAATGGCCTATGAGCACTTTACATTTAAAGTACAGTATGTCATAATTGCCATCAACTGGGGAAGGATCCAGAAAGGTACATGAATCAAAACAGACCATTGTCTGGTTAACCTGTGCAATCTACATCCTAAAAGATCAAATTAACTCCCCTAGAAAGAAACCAAACAAGCAACACTTCATGTAACTAGCACTCCTACTCGTTTGTGCTCCCACCCTCTTGTGGGGGGGGGGGCAGCATTCCACCACTCCAGTTCTTGAAATGATGTGCTGGCAGTCAGATCGGTCACCTCTGGCCTCAGATTATCTTGAGATGATTTCGGGGCTTAGTGTTCCCGTGGCCCAGTCCTCTACCAGGCCTCCACCCCCAGGAAGCAGCCTGTGACAGCTGACTAACTCCCAGGTAACAGGAGCATCAGGGTGAAAGAAACTGCCCATTGTTTCTCGCCAGTGCCCGGGATCGAACTCGAGACCACAGGATCATGCGTCCAGTGTTCTGTCCGTTCAGCCACCGGCTCCCTCTCCATCGGAACTCTCTCAAGTTCCTGTTCAAGATTTTACCCAGTGTGGCTGTACCACCAATATGTGTGGTGTGGTGGCCAGGTGTATACGGAGCAGCCTGTGCCTTGGGTGATCTTCCCTAGGTGCTCCATAAGTACAGGTACTACTCTTGCGTTTCAGGGTTATCTTCCCTGGGGCGTTCGGGACTCGCTCCCCGTTAGAGAACTTTGTCACTTGAGGTTGTCTTCATCCTTGGGGTACATCGGGGGTCTTGGGCTTTCCGTCTTGCCCTGGGTGGGGTGCACAGCGGCTGATGCAGCCTACTTTATTACAATGCAGCGGTCGATGTTTCTCTGTAACTGCCAGTTTGCTTGTTGTGTTTCTTCATGGGGCTTTTAGTTTCCTTTTTCAGTGTTTTTGCCTTTTATGGACAGAGGTGGTCTGCCTAGCTTCTTAATAGGCTAGCCTAGGTTGTGTTGGTGGTCCTCTTCTGTTGCCCACGAGGTTTCACTGCTGCTATTGGTGGTCAGCTTGCCTGTTACTAGACATGTTTCTACCGGCTTAGCTGGCCCCAGTGTCTGAGCTTCCCATAGGGCTAATTTACCCTACGGGTCCTGGAAAATCCCTGTGGACATGGTGGTAACATGGATTCTTCTTCAGAGTCCACTCTCGCCTTGTGAGAAGTTGAAGGTTGCTTGTTGCTCCGGCCTCAGGGTGACGATCATCCGTACTACCTCTTGTCATGCTGCCTGTTGGGTTGGGAACACCTAAGACCTGGAGCCTTGCGGGACTTATTCCTGCTTGTACAGTACTTCACTTTACTCATTCCTTGTCTGTTGATTTCAGGAATCAGGCGGCAGCTGCATTGCAAGCTCAATTCTCCATCTTGCAATGTGCCAGGTTGGAGGCCCCGGAGCTGTCCTGCTTGGGTTTTAGGGATTATGATTTGGGGGCGTTGGTTGCTTTGACATTGGTTCCGTCCATGCTCCTGCTTCCTTTCCCTGGTGGGTATGGTTCACACTACTATATCGGCATTGCTATAGTTATCGGGTGGCTTCTTTGATGGTGTCCCACCTGCGGTCTTCATCTCTGCGACAGTATGAAGTTTCCTGGCGGTCTTAACCTCATTTTCTTTCTCTTCGTCGGTTTCAGACCAGGTTATGTCCTTTCTTTCTTTCGTGACTTTTTCTGGATAGGCATTCTTTCCCCATCCTATCCCAAATCCTTATCCTGATCCCTTTCCAAGTACTATATAGTCAGAATGGCTTTGCACTCGCTCCTGATAGTTACCTGCCTTTCCAACCTCCTCCAACTCCTACATCCTTTCTCATCATTCTCATCCTCCATTTTTGTTCTTATTACATCATTTTCCTTGTTTTCCTTAGGTTGTTGAGCAAGACATGGAGTGTCACCAGCTGGGAAATCATACATCAGTAGAACCGCCATCATGCTTTTCTTGTACATCATCTGTGTCATCCATTGTCACCATTGTGGAGGGTGGCAAGAGAGAGACTCAGAAGGATTGCACCAGAGATACTAAACAGCTTCAAAATCGACAGTTGCAGAGAGAGTCAAGTATCAGACGGAGTTGGAGAATGAACAGGGAAGGATGCAGTGGCAGGTTTCTTTCTTCAGAGTCCCGGGGAGACAGTACTTCTGAATTAGCCATGAGGTCTGCTGGTCATGTTCTTACTGATGAATTTCAGCATGGGTCTGAATGTGAACCAGAGCCTTTACCAGTAAGCCACCAGCCTCCAAAAAAAGCAGATCAGACTTCCAAGTGGATGCTAAATGATGATGAGGAGATTGTAATCAAAGGTGTTAAATATAATGAAGACTCATCCTGCAATATAATTAATCAAAATAAGGTTAGTTTAGAAAAGAAGGATAAGGAACTTTTGGAGCCAGAAAGAATGATACTTTTGCCATCACATGGCTTTGGTAAAACTTTATCAACCTGCAAGACATCAAGAAATCTTGCATCATTAGGAAGTGATGTTGGTAGCAAATCAAGCCCAAATATTATAAACTCTACCGAATGTAATAATGTAAAGGCTGTGAAAGGAAACGCAGAACGTCTCTATCCAACATTGTATGAATTAGACGATCACAAGGAAACATTTGGGCCAGTTATACTAGAACCAGAAATAATTGCTGAAAAAGTGCAAAAACTCTTCAGAGTGCCAGCTCCATGTTCTGGTTCACAAGAGCTGAATCAAGAAAGATTAATTTCATCATCGTCACCTCGTAGTGTTGTTCAAAATCTTGATTATGTTAAAGTAAATGAAGAAAATTATGCATTACAGCCTGTGAGATGCATTACAACTTTGCCACGGACCAAAAAGTTGCAGCCCTTAAATTATGGTTTTGTGTGTGATGGAGCAAGCTACAGTGACCTACCACAATTAAGTCCGACTGTAACTGATGATCAAATAAAAGAGAGAAGCAGTGATAAATATGTTGGTACAGATGGTGATGAAAGGTTATCATTTGATGAAGTTACTGTTCCAGCAACAGATATTCATCCAGAGATAGAAGAAGGAGGGAGTGTCTTGTATTTATTAGATGATGACACTCTCAAAGAACAGTGCAAGTCCACTACAATAGAACAGAATGCCAACTCACAATTAAAGTTTGAAACAGGATGTCAAACCCACATTAGCAGGGAGGGTAAATTTACAACAGCCATTGGATTTGAAGGACTCGGTGTTATTGGTGGCGAAGCGTGTTGTAATTCAGGGACTCCAGAAGTAACTCGAGTAAGTTGCTTGCCCAAGCCTCTAGATACTAGAAAAGTTATCAGAACTATAAATGTAGGAAGGGATTCTGGTAGAGACCTAACTAAACTTCAAAGAGAATGTGCTGTGTATCCATCACTAAGTGACTTCAAGCAGGACTTGAGAATTTATAAAGGTTGTAGTACTGGTAAAGGTGGGAAGTTGGTGACCAAAACACACAGGAGACATCACAGTGATCCCACTAATGGAGATTATGCTTACACAATGCCTCAACCTTTAATAGGTGTTATTGAAGAGCAGGCAATAGTACAAAATAAACTTGTATTAGACAAGAACATATCACAGCTTAATGTTGCAAGTAGTGTTGACAGTGAGATCAAAAGATTACGTTGCCAACAGGAAGCCTCACCAAGAACTGTTGTGAGTAGTGTTGGTAGTGAGAATGAAAGATTAGGTTGCCAGCAAGAAGCCTCACCAAGAACTGTTGTGAGTAGTGTTAGTAGTGAGAATGAAAGATTATGTTGTCAGCAGGAAACATCACCAAGAACTGTTGTGAGTAGTGTTAGTAGTGAGAATGAAAGATTACATTACCAGCAGGAAACATCACCAAGAACTGTTGTGAGTAGTGTTAGTAGTGACAATGAAAGATTACATTACCAGCAGGAAGCCTCACCAAGAACTGTTGTGAGTAGTGAGAATGAAAAATTTTGTCAGCAGGACACATCACCAAGAACTGTTGTGAGTAGTGTTAGTAGTGAGAATGAAAGATTATATTACCAGCAGGAAGCCTCACCAAGAACTGTTGTGAGTAGTGTTAGTAGTGAGAATGAAAGATTACTGCACCAGCAGGAAGTCTCACCAAGAACTGTTGAAGGTGCTCCCAGTATTGGTAACAAAAGTCTGCCTCCTGATATCAACAATGAATCTTCTGGCACTTACAATTTATGTACAAAGAAGGATTCTACAAATGAAGTCTCGAAAGAAGTCGGCACTGCCTGTGTCAGCGAATTGCCGGTTAACATCCAGATGCCCAGGTATGTCATTATCATCACCTACATTGTAATTTAATTAGTAGTAAAACTTGTAGGGCATTAAGTGGGTAGACAGCTTGTTTTATCCTCTGCATTTGAACAGCCTAGTAAGTCAATGTAGGGTCCTTAGTAAGTAATAAGGATATGTCATAATAACAACACACCATGAATAACTGCACTACTAAGCTGTTGGATTGCTAAAGGTGCATTTAGGTTTAGTCATAAACTTTAACATGAAGTATTTATATTAAAATTGTAATGACAGAGTAAGGATGTTAAATATTTTTCCTCCAGGGTATAGGTGTTCTGGCTTACCTGGACAACCGATTGATTTGGGCACCTAGTTGTTCTGCGTGTATGCTAGCTAGGGATTAGGTTTTGAGCACATTGAAGACATTTCTCTTTTTGGGGAAGCTCTTCAATGGCTTCTTGGAGGTAGCTATGTGGATAGCCCTACATATATATCACACCAGTCCCTTGCAAGTCATAAATGCCTTGAGACAAAATCTGGCACATTCAATAGAACAGGGAGCAGGAAATACTTGATCTCCCCGACCAAGATGAAAACCTACTATAAATGTAGAGCGTACTAAAGCACACCTGCAAGGAAAATAGAAACCAAACTGACAACTAGGGGGACAATAGTTAGGCATTGACAGATAAGTGTTGGCTATCCTTTGGACTCTATACTGAAGGGGCCTGTGCATGTGTTTGTTGCAATTTCTGAGAGGGCTCCTAAAATGGCTTCATGTTACCAGTTAAAATTACCGGTTTTGAGGGTTTGCTTTATTTATCTGGGGCACGGATTTGAACGTTACCCTGGTCATTGTGGTCCTCCTGCAACAACCTGCAATTGCATGCAACTGCACCAACACCAGTGGAGGCCGCACTGCAAGAAGTCACTTTGCAGAAAGCCACAACAACCAAACAAACAAATGAAGCCCCTAGGAGTGAGCAAAATGCCAAGGGTCCCAGTACCCCAGGTGGAGATGAAGGCCAGGACAGCTGTATGCTATTGCCACAAGCAATACCAGGCTGCTTCCACACTTAGGTCATTTGCTCTACAACTTCCTTGCAAGCAAGAAAATATAGCAGGTAATGGACGGATCCTCACACCAGATTTATGTTCAGTGTTTGAGGCTCTGTGCTGGATCCTGAGACAACTCAAATTATGACAAGTTGCAATTATGAAGGCAGTACTTCAGAATGAGGAGTGACATAAATAGCACCAGTATTAACAAAATATGTTTTATTTAACAACTTATTAATCAACATTGATCCACGTTCATTACGTTACTGAAGAGTGTCACCTCAAAAACTTGCAACACACCTCTTTGCGGTAGGAATCCGTCTCCAGCACTCCAGGGTTAGAGAGACCACAGTCTCGACCTACTGAACAGGTCATGAACAAAAGTGAACTAACTGAACACTTCATGAACACTCTTGGCAATTACTGCACTTGCCACTGGCAGTATCAAAACACTTCAACAACATGCCAAATTAACACATGTTAATGAATGCAAAGAACACTGTCACTAAGACAGACACAAGACAAGTAATTACTTTACTTCCAACAATGCCACCGAAGACATTACAATTAATGAATTATTACGTTAATCACACTGTCGCTCAGTCAACAATCAAAGATAATCGTTCCGCGAGCGCTATGTCATGGATTCGTATCCTGGCCGGGGACGATTTACTGGGCGCAATTCCTTAACTGTAGCCTCTGTTTAATGCAACAGTAAAATGTGCACTTGGATGAAAAAACAATTCTTCGCGGCAGGGGATCGTATTCCAGGGACCTGCCCGAAACGCTACGCGTACTAGTGGCTGTACAAGAATGTAACAACTCTTGTATATATCTCAAAAAAAAAAAAAAAATAACACTTCAATAATTAGTGGTGACCAAGTGAGGGGAGGGTGGGGGGCTTTGTTCCCAGTTGGTCTATAGAACAGTGTTGCTGGTGAGACCAAGTAGATGGTACCCTATCACTATATGATAGCTTCAGGGAACTACTGAGGCTCGCCCAGAAATTGACATTCTATTACACTCGACACTTGTTTTGTTTTCTGTAGGGATCCCCTTTCGGCTCCCTGGAGCTGGAGCTATTGGGCTAATATGCGATACATTAGACTGGGGCATTAGTCAGTGGAGTTCAGCCTACTGGCAACCACTAGCCAGAATCTCAGAGATAGGGCCAGGGGGAGCAATGCCCTGAAAAAACCCTGGGGTTGGGGGTTTTCCTTATCTGGCATTGACCGGGATTAGGCACCTAGAAAGGTAGGCATAACAAAACAAATCTCACAAGGTAAGAAAATTGCAATCAAAACCGAACAGAGAGAGAACAAGGTGTAACAAACGTTACACCTTGCCGCTGCGCCGCTCATCCACGCAGCCCTCCCCTCCAATGGTTTAGATGGGGAGGGGGGAGCCCCGGACCCCCTGCACCGGCTACCCAGCAACTCCAGTTCGTCAGCTAATGCGATCCTGGGCAGACGTCAACTCTGGCCTCGATTTCCTGGCAGTGTTTTGCCTTAGTGGTGTCCTCTGCTGTTTATCCTTTGGTGGCCAGATGTACTTAAGTGTACCTGGGCTGCATGCATTTAGGGTCACCTTCCCTAAGTGCCCTGTGAGTACTAACCCTGGGTGCTATGGTTACCTTCCCTGGTGCCTTTGGGACACCATTTCCGTAGGGGTTTTTGCTGCTTAGCATTTTCTCCCACCCTTGGGCCCAGCTGGGGTTTTGGGGCCCTTGTTTGGTCTTGGGTAGGGAGTGGTATTGTTGCTGGTTGGGGCATCAAGGTGTTGCGCAGCCAGCTTACCTATGCAGCAGTCGGTCCCTGTTTCCTCTAAGGATGTTGTACTTTTGCTGTGTTTTCTTTTCATTTTTGTTTTCATTGCCTGGTGGGGGGGGGGGTTGTCTGCCTTGTGTGGCTCTAGGGCCACTTACAGTATATTGTTTTGTGGCCCTCTGCTAGGCCCCCATGATTTTACATATTGCAGGGGTTTCAGTGTTTTTATCGGGGCTTAGTGGACCTATAGATGCGTCTTCCGGGTTCCAGCTTGCCTGGTGCGAGTTTGAAGGTTACTGTGTGCCCTTGTCTTAGGGTGACAGTCACCACTTTTGCCTCCGTCATGCTGCCTGTTAGGTCAACGACACCTTTGACCTGGAATCTTGCGAGTCGTGCTCTCTGCTTGTTCTCCAAATTACCCATTCTGATGACATTGATATTAGGGTATAGGCAGCATCCGTGTTGCATGCTAGGTTTAGGTTGCTGCAATGCGCTAAGTTGGTTGTCCACTGGTATGCCCCGAGACTGCCCATTTTGGTTATGGGCAGTTACCCAAACTTGGGGGCATTAGTCACTTCGACTTTGGTACCATCCATGCTCCCTAGTCCTTTCCCTGTTGTTCATCCTGTTCCACCACCCCTCCCCCTTCCCCCCTGCTCCCAGCTTCCAAACGTCTGAGGGTTTTGGAGTCGGGGCTGGGTTTAATTGGTAATGAGACTCGGGCTGCCTCGGGGGCTGCCCCATCTGGGTTGGGGACGGAGGCATTTGAGCCTGCTCCTCCTGCCGAGGCTTCTGGGTCCTGCCAGCAGACCCCCCTTCTTTGCTGCCTTTTCTTCAGGGGTGGAGGGCGTGGAGGACTTCTGTGCCTCGGGACCTCTGTGGGGTTTCCCGTTTGGGCTCGCGTATCCCATGTCATCTGCAGGGTATTAAATCTAGCCAACCTGCGGTCTGTCCTTGTACCCATGACGTTCAGAAGTTTACTGCTTTGGCTGCCGTATTCGGCAACATGTCTTGGGCTGATATTTGGGCACCGGGGATTTTGGAGGTCAAACAGGGTCGACCAGGTCATCTTGAGATGATTTCGGGGCTTAGCGTCCCCGCAGCCCGGTCCTCGAACAGGCCTCATTTTTGTTACCCCCCCCCCCCCCCCCAGGAAGCAGCCCATAGCAGCTGTCTAACTCCCAGGTACCTATTTACTGCTAGCTAACAGGGGCATCAGGGTGAAAGAAACATTTTGCCCATTTGTCTCCGCCTCTACGGGGGATCGAATCCGGAACCTCAGGACTACGAATCCGAAACGCTGTCCACTCAGCTGTCAGGCTAAACCTGGTCAACCAAGGTCGAATGTTAACCAAATGTGGCTTTGTGTGGCTTTGGGTCGCAGGTTGTAGCCATTAGTCTCAACTTCGAGTTGAGGAGCGCGTGGTGACTGCCTTCTGGGTAGGTCCCTCTATTACTTATCTTTGGTTATGTAGCTCCAGAGTTGAAAGGGCTCCCCACAGAAAACCAGTGTTGAATGTAATGGAACTCCATTTTCTGGGGTTTTCTCACTCTCTCTACCCTCTCACTACCCCTGGAGGGAGAGAGGGTGCCTCCCTGGCATCCTCTCTCCCTCCAGCCTGTAGTTTTTAATGTAGTTTTCATGCTTAGCCTACGAACTAGAATTGCTGGGTAGCCAGCACAGAGGGTCCTGGGCTCCCCCTTCCCCCTCCTGAGAAGGGGAGGACTGCGCAGACAAGCAGCACGGAGGCAAGGTGTGACATTTGCTTCTTTGCTCGTTTCCTTGGAATTAGAGGGAATTCTGCCTCTCTGTTTGGTATCGGTTGCAATTTTCTTACTATGTGGGGGGTCTGTTTTGTTATGCCTACCTTTCTGGGTGCCTAACCCCAGTCGATGGCAGATGAGGAAAACCCCAAACCATTGGGAGGGGGTTCCAGAACCATTGCTCTCTGTGCCTCTCCGAGGGGGGCCAGGGTCTGGCTTGTGGTCCCTGGTAGGCTGAACTCCATTGACTAATGCCCCGGTCTAATGTATCGCATATTTGCCCAATAGCTCCAGGGGAGCCTCCACGGCTCGCGCAGAAAATAGCGTTTCATTACATTCAACGCTGGATTTTTTTGTGATGGATCTGTAATCATGCAAATAATTGCTGTATTTACAAATGAGCATAAAATCTACCTTGATTAATCCTTTGGTTATTGCAACATTAAGTAGTGTGTTTTGTGGCAGGTGTACGTGCGTGGGCTGCAGCCCATCAGGTGCTTCACAATCCAGAAGCATCAACTGCAATAAGGGCATCAGCATCAAGAGCATCAACAGCAGTAAAAGCCCGGAAAATAGTAGCATCGGCTGCAGTCTTGCAGGTTCATTGTTTGGGGGTGTGATAGACCATTATTCATCAGTGTTTGTTGTTCATGCTACCACCCAGACCCACCAGTGGGAGGATGCTCTCAGACACGACCTCTCTGCTGCTGCCCACTGCTCCACTTTGGATCAGCAGGTGGCAGAGGCTGTTGCTGTTGTCGCCGACACAAACACTTGGTATTTATATATTTGTAATACATTAAGGTAGTGGTATTGGAGAAATATAGTAGATTCCCAGTTTGGCACAAGTGGGTTTACCACAGACCACTTCTAGGCCACCTTAGGTTAAGTTTTGCTTGACTTATATTAAAACTGTTTAGGTAGAGAGTTGCAGAATTATTCATTAAGCAATAGGCACAATAATGAAGGCAAACTTAGGGAAGTGGTTGACTTGGAAGAAGGCAAGCTAAAGGATTGTGGTTGACTTAAGGGGGTTGTGGTTGACCTGCAGAAAGGTAAGCTCAGGGGTTGTGGTTGACCTGGAGGCAGGCAAGCTATGGGGCTGTGGGTGACTTGCAGGCAGGCAAGCTAAGGGGTTGTGGGTGACCTGGAAGCAGGCAAGCTAAGGGGCTGTGGGTGACCTGGAGGATGACAAGCTATGGGGCTGTGGGTGACCTGGAGGCAGGCAAGCTAAGGGGCTGTGGGTGACCTGGAGGCGGGCAAGCTATGGGGCTGTGGGTGACCTGGAGGCAGGCAAGCTAAGGGGTTGTGGGTGACCTGGAGGCAGGCAAGCTAAGGGGCTGTGGGTGACCTGGAGGATGACAAGCTATGGGGCTGTGGGTGACCTGGAGGCGGGCAAGCTATGGGGCTATGGTGACCTGGAGGCAGGCAAGCTATGGGCCTATGGGTGACCTGGAGGCAGGCAAGCTAAGGGGCTGTGGGTGATCTGGAGGCAGGCAAGCTATGGGGCTGTGGTGACCTGGAGGCAGGCAAGCTATGGGGGGTATGGTTAATCAATAATGCTACATTTCTGGGGATGAGCCCCTTTGGCTCCCCAGAGCTATCCAGACTGATATGTATATTATTAGACTTGGGCATCAGTCAGTGTGAAAAGAGTTCTAGGCCAACTGGGGACCACGAACCAGAACCTGGCCCCCTCAGAGAGGCCCGAGGAGCAATGGCCTCTAGAAATACACATGGGCTTTGGAGCATTCTGTGTCTGCCATCGATCGGGCACCCAGTAAGATAAGTGCCTCAAAACAAACCCCCTATTTTGGTTAAAATGACTAAAATAGACAAACGAGTGGACAGGACTCCTCAAATGAAAATGAACAAACAAGCATGATGTCACACGAGCCGCGCCGCATGTCTGCGCAGCTTCCCCCTCCCCAGGAGGGGGAAGGGGAAGCCCCAGACCCACCGTGCCGGCGATCCACCCTTCACTTCTTGGCTGATGTGATTGGGGCATGGTTAGAGAGCTTCATGCTCTCCTCCTGCGCAGGGGTTTCTATTCTTTTCGTCGAGATGATAGGTTCATTCATTTGCAGCCGTCTCCTTTTATTCTGGCGAATATTGGGACTGCTGCTTTCCGGAGGGGTCCTTGGGTTGTTGATGCTTGGTTGGTCAGGCTAGGGGTGCATCATGTGTTGTGTCCGGTTGCAGCTCTCCGCCGCTATTTGTGCTCCACATCCTCTGTGACCAGGGATGCGCTTTGGGTTGATCCGGTTTCCTTTCTTCCCTGTTCTAGGGTTCGTGTCTCTCAGGTCGTCCGCAGGGTTATTCGGTCTAGCCAGCCTGCGGCTTATCCCCATGCCCATTACGTTCGTAAGTTTGCTACGTTGGCTGCTGTCTTTGGTAACATGTCCTGGGCTGACATTCGGGCACGGGGTTCTTGGCAGTCGAACAGGGTCCTGGCTGCACGCTGCCTTGTGATTGTTCCTGGGCCTAGTCAGACCTGTCGGTTATGGGTCAGCGGTTGCAGCCTGTTGTCTCGAGTTCGAGTTGAGGTGTGAGCACTGACTGCCTCCCGGGTAAGCCCCTCTAGTTTTTGTCTTTGGTGAAGTAGCTCCGGGGAGCCGAAGGGGTTCCCCCCAGAAAACCAGCGTTGAATGCAATGAAACAGCATTTTCTGGGTGAGTCCCAGAGGCTCCCCAGAACCCCCCCCCCCCCCCACCTCCTGGTCAGCAGTTTTTCGCGTGTTTTAACATCCAGCCTCAAACTGAAGGGTGGATCACTGGTGCAGTGTTTCTGGGGCTCTCCCTTCCCCCTCCCTGGGAGGGGGGAGCTGCTCAAACATGTGGCGCAGCTCGTGTGATGTCATGCTCGTTTGCTCGTTTTCATTTGGGGAATTCTGTCCACCCATTTGTCTATTTTAGTCGTTTTTAACCAGAAAAGGGGTTTGTTTTGAGGTGCTTACCGTTCTGGGTGCCTGGCCCGGTCGATGGTAGACATAGAATGCTCCAAATTCCATGTGCATTTCTATAGCCCATTGCTCCTCGTGCCTCTCTGAGGGAGCCAGATTCTGGCTCGTGATCCCCAGTACACCTCGAACTCCATACACACTGACTGATGTCAAAGTCTAATGATATACTTAACAGCCTGGATAGCTCTGGGAAGCCTCCGGGTCTCACCCAGAAAATGGCATTTCGTTACATTCATCACAGGTTTTTTGCTGTAGTATGATTGATTTAGAAGTCTATGTAAAATAGATTTAGTGATAAAAATAGATAGACGAATGTGGACCTACAGTATATAGTTGACTAGGATCTTGCTGCACTTTATCTAAATTATATTAAGTTTATTGGTAAGTCTCTCTTCTTTCTGTAGCTATAACTTGTATAAGCTTTGTTTTAAATTTAAACTAAGTTGTGAGTAATGATTGTCGTTACCTGAAACACTACACTTGTTGTGCAACTTGTAGCATGGGCCTGGCCTTTTAGAGTTCTTTGAGCTGTATGTGCTCAGGGCTACCTTCCCTGTGTGCTCCTTAGTGCTGCCCCTGCATTGACAGTTCTCTTCTCAGGTGTGTTCAGTAGTTTTCTCTCTTAGAAGACCATCCTGTTTGAGGCAGTCCTTGCCTTGGGAGAGTCAGGGGTCTAGTTCTTTCCCCATCTTGACCTAGTAGGGAGCAAGCATTGGCTGGTTGGGGCACACTGATAGCTCGCTTGGTTGTTAATACTGTGCTCTGAGGTCGACCTTCATAGCAGTGTAACTCAGGCTGTGCTGTCCCGCTTGGTTTACCTTTCAGGCCTTGGAAAGTCCTTAGGTATTGAATGGGGCCAATGGATATACCCTCCGAGGCTGTTCTAGCCTTGAGTGAATTTGAGGGTTGTTAGTCATCCATGCCATAGAGCAACAATCATTTGTTCTGCCTTTGTTTTTTAGTTCTGGAAGCCATTTTTGTAGCAGGTCTTTGCACCTTTTCAAGTTTATTTATGTGCTTCTTGACATATGGGCACCATACAACTGCTGCATATTCCAGTTTTGGTCTCATAAACAGTCATGAATGGTTTCTTTAGTATTTCACCATCCATGTAATGAAAAGTAAGTCTGAAGTTGGAAAGTGATGCATATGCTCTTCACAATTTTCTTTGTGTGTTCTTCTAGGGACAGTTTACTATCCAAAACCATCCCTAAGTCTCTTTCTTATGTGCCTGGTTGGATGCTCTGGAGCTGGCCAGCTTTGTGTTCATAGACCTAGAATTGGAGGCGTTGATGAGCACCACCTTGACTTCCTCCGTACCATTTGAGCATGGTTTGCCTTCCCTTGGATCAACCTTTCCCTCCCCCCCCCCCACCCCCTTCCCCCCTCTGCTTCCGGCCTTGAAGCATCCGAGGGTTTTCAGGTAAGGGCAGGGCTTAGTTCAGGATATGGCTTTTTTGTTTCTGGGGGTGGCTCTTTCCAATATTGACATGGAGGTAGTTGAGCTGGCTGGTCCCAATGAGGTTTTAAGGTTTCTTCCCAGCCAGCCCCTTCTGAAACCTCTCCCTTGGACTCCAATTTTCTCTCCAGGGTGATGTGGTCACGACTCTGCTCCGGAATCTTCGTGGTTGGTTCCCGGGCTTGGGGAAACTTGAATAGCGGGACTTGGGTTCCATTGGACCTCCCTTCAGACAAGGGCCTGTTTGCTTCAGGAGAGGGGTTTCCATAGCATCCTCCTTGTATGATTTTGATATAAATACTGCTCCCTGGGGTTTGTTTCCACGTACTTCTAGGCCTGTCAGCATTGTTATTCCAAAGGTTTCTTTCCTCTCGAGTCCCTCTGTCAGTAGCTCGAGAGGATTTTATCAAGTACCTCCTGCGAGACACAGAATTTGCCTTTATGAAGGACCCCTGCTTCTTTTGAGTTTGGATCATCATCTTGCTGCATCTGTTATGAGGTCCCAGAGTCTTCCTGGCTAGTGGGCAAACCTCTGAGCCTCTGAACTATGGTTGGGTAGCCGGTACAGGAGAATGGGGGACCCCCCTTCTCCCTCCCGGGGAAGGAGGGAGCTGCGCATTCAGCGGCGTGGCGGCTGTGGTGACGTTATGCTTGTTTGCTTGTTTTTTGATTGGGAAGTTTTCCTTGCTCGTTCAGCTTTCGGTTTGCAATTTTAACTAGCTATAGTTTGTTTTGGGATTCCTACCTTTCTGGGTGCCTGACCTGGTAGATGGCAGATATAGACTTCTTCCAACTACATCGAGTGTCTATAGGTCATTGTTCCTCGTGCCTCTGAGGGGGGGGGGGGGGTTCTGGCTCGTGGTCCCCGATAGACATAGAACTCCATCAATTGACTGTTGCCATGGTCTAATATATACACATCAGCCTGGATAGCTCCGGGGAGCCTGCGGGTCTCACCTAGAAATTGGTGTTTCATTACATTCAGCACAGGGTATTTACATAATAAAAAATCATTACACATTTATTAGTCTTGAAAATTTATGAAAGCAATGGACTGTTAAGTTTCCAAATACAATAACTGAGAATAGCACTGTAAAATAAAAAAAATTATTAATTGGTCTCTGTATATTATCTAATACACTATTCGTGGACAACAGGGAGGTGCAGGTGATGTCATCTCACACGTACGTTGTGGAACACACTGGCTCTGGGGGTCAAGTGGGTCCAAGAGTCGGCATGTCTCCCTTAGTGTCGGCCATTACGGACTCTGTGCTGGACCTTGCTCGCATGGCTGTTGGACCTCAGTTTGTGAGTTATTACTCTTTATAATGTAACTTAGTTTTATGGTTTTACCTGGATGTGGTATGGCTTGCTTTAACACTTTCCCAACACCACCACCCATTACTGCAGCTCACCCTTCATGGCAGCGTCCAGCTATTTCCTGGTGACAACACAGCAACAATCAGGTCATTGTAACTTCATCCTCATCTCTTTGTGCACTTTCCAACCTTCTATTGTACCAGGCCACAAGTAAGGGATCGCTTGCTCCTCCAGACAATAAGTGAAGGAAGGCCATCTTCCCGAGGCCACAAGTAAGGGAAGGCCACCTCTGTAACAATCGCTGCCCACTATTGTAATAATACTCGGATGTCACCACTGTAACAGTTGCAAAGATGTAGCCTTCAGATCAAGTACATAGGTACGACGTCGATCAAGGTCACGAGGCATTTAACCTGTCATCTTAATCAGGTGCCCCTAAAAATCACATGAGACAAGCCCATGACATCACCCCTAACAACATCACCCTGTTGTTCTTCGTACATCCTGACAAAACTCAGGATGTAAGAAAATTACAAATTCTTGAAGCCATTCATATAAAAGCTGAACAACCCACCATAAATACCCAAATAACAGAGCTATTCACTCTACTCACCATGAGAGTAAGAACAAGACTGGAATACAAAGATAACAATGTAGAAGACACTGCTCAAAATGCCATGCCCACTACACCTGATTAATCTTTGTATTTGCTTCCCCCTTTTTTTTTGTTTTTTACTTTATTTGTCCCTATTTACATCCCTCATTCATCCCCCATTTATGCCCTACTCTTCCCGTCTTTATGCTGTACTCCTCACCTATTTGTATTATGTACCTGACATCCCTAATGGTATAAATATAATATGCCCTGTACAGTCCCATCACTTGAGAATGAACCAGTTAGGTTCAATATGTTGTGTACATTTATAACACTTGTAATACACTCTACAGTTAATTATTTCTTTTAGTTTGCCTTGAACAAAGATGACATTTGGAGAAGTCCTCTTCCAATTAAACCAAGATGCAAGAGCACTAGTCAGAAGGATAGAAGCCCTAAACAAGAAAATAATCAGTACAGAATATGCAGTCATATTTAGTGAAACATATCTAAATGAAAACCTGCTGCCATTATACATTAAATATGTGTGTGTGTGTTTTGTGTATGTATGTACAGAGGAACCTCGGTTAATGAATTTAATCCGTTCCGGCACCGAGTTCGTCATTTGAAACACTCGTCTTGCATACGTCCAGCCTTCCATATGACCATAATGGCTCAAGCGAGCTAGATTCTGGTCCTGGCTTCAGATAGGTGATGGATGGGTCTTAGAGGCTGGGTGTTGGGTTAAGGTTTGGCAGAACCAGAGGTAAGCTCAGGGGGTCACTAGGTGCCATCTAGTAAAGGCTGTTTCATTACATTAATTTTTTTTTATTATTTATTACAGTGTGTGACCTAAGGAGATTAATAACATTTCTTTCCACAGATCATGCAACACTTCGAGGAACGCCTATGTGAACTATACCTCAAGTCACAGCTGTTGGCAGAGTACTTACTGGGAGGAGCTGGTGCTTCCTTAAGAGGCACTGAAGCTGCACTGAGCCCCTACCACTTGCCAGAATTGACACGTGCTCTGGGCTTTGACCTCAATGACTTGCCACTATTGTTGGCGGTTGCCTCAACTCACACGCCCGCCCTCACTCGCATGTTTGGCTTGTCAATCAAGTAATCTGTGTATGAGGCTCAGACATTCATTGAACCACAATGTGTGAAAAAAGAAGTATGTGTTATTGATGAATGGTATATTTCATATTTTAGTACTCTGTGGTTAGTTACTGATGACACTTATTTTCAAGTCAGGAATTACAATGTTCATATTGTGATTGTATAAAGCATACAACTTCATAGTAAGCTAAATAAGCTGCTGTTCATTCATGCCAGGATGTATCAAATTCTGTTTTTTTGTACTCTCCTACACTGTGCAGTGTATGTTGGTACAGTACTCTCTTATACTGTGCAGTGTATGTTGGTACAGTACTCTCTTATACTGTGCAGTGTATGTTGGTACAGTACTCTCTTATACCGTGCACTGTATGTTGGTATTACAGTATCTTATACTGTACAGTGTATGTTGGTATTATCCTACAGTGTATGTTGGTATTATCCTACAGTGTATGTTGGTACTATCCAACACTGTACAGTGTATGGTTGTCATGACACTATCACTGTGATGGTTGTCATGACACTATCACTGTGATGGTTGTGTCATGACACTATCACTGTGATGGTTGTCATGACACTATCACTGTGATGGTTGTGTCATGACACTATCACTGTGACGGTTGTGTCATGACACTATCACTGTGATGGTTGTGCCATGGCACTATCACTGTGATGGTTGTGTCATGACACTCTCGGGACCTTTCATTTTACTGATGAGATTTGCTGTGCAAAATCATTTTTATATGGATTTACCCCCAATAGAGTACTGATAATTGTTATAATATGAATGTAACTATAGGACATAATAGTGGCTGTTCAGATGAACACAACCACAGTATATGCTGGCAGAACAGCAATAACATTGTGAATAAGAAAATGATAATGTGCATGACAATCATAATAATAATAGAACTGCAGAGTACAAGTAAATTATAACGTCCGATATTATCAAGGTGGGACATGGAATATTTGTAGCAGAGACTTCAGCAATACTTCCCACTCCTTGAGGTGGTCATTTGGACGTGACAATAGTTGTGCTCTCATTTCCCGCAGGACGCAAGAGCTGCACAAAAGGAGGATAGTTGTTTAGGAACTAACTCGAGTTACAGACTCGGCATGCCACATTAACATTACAGGGGAAACATCACACATCTCAGGGACCAGTTTATAACATAAGGAAGCTTTGACATTGTTTTGAAACACCTTCCTGGTCACTATTCATTGTTATTCTTAACAGGATCTCAGAGAATGTTTAAGTAAGGGTCTTGAATTATGTGTTAATTATGTTTTGTGGGGTGGGATTGTATATTTATTATGGCTTAGCTGTGGTTTATGTGTAGGCTGTGGCCCATGTACAGGTTGTGGTCTGTGTGTAGGCTGTGGCCCATGTACAGGTTGTGGTCTGTGTGTAGGCTGTGGCCCATGTACAGGTTGTGGTCTGTGTGTAGGCTGTGGCTTATGGTACTGTATGTGTAAGCAGACAATCACCACTATTATAATGGTAATTTAATTTAGGATTGTTATTGATTGCAAATATATAAAATAATCAGTTGATGATATCTATGATTATTATGCAGTACAGTATATGTAACCCCATGTATATGTGTAATAAATAAATATATATATATATTATATATATATATATAATATATATACATATATATATATAGTGTGTATATTATATACATATATAAATAATGGGATACATTAAACACATGAACCCTTCATCCGGCACACATGAGCACACACCCAGGTGAACACACCCCCTCCGCAGTGCTTCAATAGTGTTCATATTTATGCGATGAGAAATGCATACCAATTTTTGGTTACAATGGTCACATTATAAATGCATTTTTACTTTAAGGCAATGTTAAAACTGGTATACGTCAGCTTTAGAATAATTCTGAAAACACTTTGAGTATGAATGCTTACCATTCATACTTCCAATTACAGTGCATTGTAGAGTGACTTTGTAATGAGCAGACCAGAGATACATGACCTGTGTGACATAGTCTGGACACTCATGTACACAGTGATTCATTGCAGTTTCTGTATACAGTTTTGCCTTTTTACTTTTACAACTCGATAATTGGTTGAGATGCACAAAGTTTGTTAAAACATTAGCAAGAACAGATAGTTGCACGTACATCTCGGGATTTTATCAGGTTTCGGAATTTATTAAATATAGTATTTTTAAGTGATTTGATGACCACATGCTAAATTGTTAAAGATTTTTTAATTTCTTATAGTAGACATGTGTTTTGTTGTTATTACAATTATTAGCTGAAAGGGATTTAAAACTGATGGTAAATGAAGTCTTCCATTGACAAATATTTTGTAGATAAAGGAGTGAGTGGACTGAGCAATGGCAGGACTACTGTTGTGTGTAGATGGCTGTGTGTGGCCACACACACACACACACACACACACACTGCTCCACTTGTTGTCCTCGGTCAGTTTTTCAGCTCAACCTTGTTCGAGTTTTCACTGTTTTCTCAATCTCTTTATTTTTCTTTATTTTCCTCATTTCTTTAATTTGTATTTGTAATGCTAATTTATTTCCATGTATTTGCTAAGATAATACTCATCCTTTCTGCACTTTGCTTATCAGTGCAAGAAACAGGGTCACTCTGCCTCACTTTATAATGGCTAAACCAACATGTGGAACATTAGAGAAATTTTCAAGTACTTCCTTACAAGTTTTTTTATTAAAGCTTGAAGCTTTCCCCAATCTGGGAAAGATTGGTTTTGGGCCACATTGTTAAACAGAGGTAAGTTTCTGGTAGAAGTAGTAAGGTATCTAAAGATTTAGATCCATCTGTGAAGCAAATGAAGTGCTCTCTACTGTAAAGTGTGCTAAGCTCAGGGATTTAAACATAGGTGTTGCACCTTTATAAGAAAAACTGGTAAGTAGCAGTGTGTTTACATTAATCCACATCTCAAGTGTTATTTTCTAGCTGAAGCTGTGATATGGGCTGTGATTTATGTCCAATTTTGTATTGAACTTTGGTATGTTAATAATATGAACTAAGGAAGGTTGTAGATATTTATAGTTGGTAGATTATTTGTATGATTACTTTACACATAGGGCAAGTGTGCTTATCTTTCAGTGACCGGGGGGAGTGAGATCTAGCTCTTTCTGTTCTGCCTCTCTAACTATTTATACCTGTCATGCTAATTTCTTCTCACAATATTAACGTTTTCATCACATTTTTATTACAGTTGTGGATGTAATTGGCTTCTGTATGATTATTACACACATGGGGAAAAAGTGTGTATAATTACTATACACCTTGGAGAAGTGTATGTGTGTGTCATTACTATACACATGGGTAAGAGAAAGAGAGAGATTTTGTCAAGGCTGCTGATGCTAATGTGTTTTGGCATATAAATTGAGGGCTGTATTCTAAACTGACCTTTTTTTTCATTTTTCCTTAAATTTAAATTCACACATTAACCTTCCTGCAAACTGCCTGTACCATGAACAAGAAGATACTGTCATTATAATGACTGGAATTAGTGATGCTATAGAATGTCTGAAGTTTTAATTAGTGATAAAGGAAACAATGTTGTCATTTTGGCACAAGACCTAGAAGAGAAACATGGAAGAAGGCGAGATGATTCATAATCTAAAACTTCTCACCGCCACTGGACTTGCCTTCTCTAAACTTTTTCTGGAGGGGCCAAACGGTGGCTTCCTGTAGTACTGAGACAGCTTCTCACAAGAGTCGCATCAGCCCTAGTACCTTAAAAAGCCTACCAGAGACCAGATCCAGAATCTGGCCCACTCAGAGGCACAAAGAGCAGGGAATTGTCATGATCACCCTCGGCAAGGAAACATCCAGTAAGCAAGTGAAGCAAAATGAACAACTGCAAGGTTCACAGGTAAAAGAAAACTGAAGCAGCAAATGACTACAAATATTCTGCCCAGTAGTTTGAATCCTCATTATTTACAGCTGGCCATCATTAGGTGGCAGCACCCTGGTAGCTGTAGGCTCCCATGTTGACACAGTTCTTCAGTCCTTTCACTGTTGTCCACCTGTATTGATTTTTTTTTTTTGAGTTTCCAGCCTTAGTGGTATCTCGGCTGTTTCTAAATATGTGCCGGCAGTCCTTTGGATTCTGTCCAGCGAGAGCCATTTTCTTGTGTATCATTTCAAAGTTTAGAGATAGCTTCACATGCTTGTGTTTACAAGCCTCACTTGTTGTGCTGACATTGGTTACATTTCACCTCAAGCTGCATGTGCCTAGGGCTGCTCTTCCCTAGGTACTTGTTTGGCATTGTCCCTGCCCTAACAGGGTGACTTCTCCAGTGGGTTCAGGAGTTCATCCCATAGAGGCCGGCCTACTGTGTAGGGTGCCTCACCCAGAGTAGTACAAGGGTCCTTGACCTCTCTGAAAGGCTCTGAGGCTGGAGACATTTGGGTTTTATTGATTTTGGGATGTACTAAGCCTGCAATATTTGCGTTTACTGGATCTTGATTCTTGATTCTAACAGTCTTCTTCAAGACAGGAGGCTTATCAGGCAGTAGCTGCTTTATGAAGTCTTTTTTCTCTTGTTTGTTGATTGCCTGGATGCCCTGGAGTTGGCTTTTATGGTGTTTAGAGATTCAGAATTAGGGAAGTTGGGGATTTGGAGACATCTATTTCTCAGGGGTTGGGGGGTGGGGAAAGGTATGCTTAACTCGAGTCCATTAGTTTTAAATGATGACTTCCTGTCTGATCAGGTATCAGACATGAAACATGGCTCTGCTCTCTATTTGTGATTAACCGGAGCGAGGGGAGAGAGTCCAAGGAAGGTCACTGGGTGCCTGATTCCTGAGCCATAGTGTCATCTAGCCTTTGCCTCTTCTAGTTCTTGAGTGTTGCAGAAGAGTGCTTCTGCTCAGGGTTTTTTTTTTTTAGTCAGCATTTTTGTGATTCGCCCATTTCACATCTGGCATTTTTTGCTACTTCCTGGTCCCACACTTTGTGGGCTTTCTGAATGGTATTGGTTCTCTTCCCCTTTCTTCCAGTAGATTCAGGAGTCTTGAATCAGGAGTTCTCTCTTCAGCTCCACAAAGTCATCATGACTTGTTTGGAGTCTGGCATGGGCAAGCTAATCACCTCTCTTAGGTGGGTGTTCCAGTTGTTCCAAGACCCTAAGCAGGATTCTGTAGAACAATTGGTACATTTTCAACGTCATGGGATTGTACTGCTTCTTTCCTTGCCTGACCTTTCACATGGCAGTGTTAGCTTAGAATACCCCCGTTGAAAAGCAGAGGTGCAACAGGTACTCTGAGAGAGAACTCTATCAACATCAGAGGCCCGAGACTGTTCAACACGCTTCCACTACACATAAGGGGCATAACTGGCCAACCCCTCACAGTGTTCAAGAGAGAACTGGATAAGCACCTCCAAAGGATACCTGATCAACCAGGCTGTGACTCATACGTCAGACTGCGAGCAGCCGCGTCTAACAGCCTGGTTGATCAGTCCAGCAACCAGGAGGCCTGGTCGACGACCGGGCCGCGGGGACACTAAGCCCCGGAAGCACCTCAAGGTAACCTCAAGGTAGGTCCATCTGGTGTTGCAAATGGAATTCTGGATGGTATCCCTGGACCAGAAAGATATGTATTGGTACATTTTATTCATTCAAGGTTACATTTTATTCATTTTATCCATTCATGGGTATGGGGTGTGGGCCGGTCTTGGAGCGAGACATGAACCCAGCGATAGGTGACTTAAATGGGGATTTCGATGTGGATTCAATATATAACTTATTTAAGAATATTCTAAACAAAGCACAGGAACGTAGTATACCATACAAATTGAATAGATCGAATACTAATGACCCAAAGTGGATAACAAAGAATTTGAAGAACCTTATAGGTAAAAAGAGAGCTTGGTACAAAAGGATTAAAAATGGGGAGGTCACTTTAGAACAGGAATTCGTACAACTGGTTAGAAATGTTAAAAAAGAGATAAGGAAAGCAAAAAGAAACTATGAAGTTCGCATAGCAGGGCAAGCAAAGACAAATCCTAAAGGGTTTTTTCAGTTATATCGTACTAAGACTAGGGAAAGGATAGGTCCATTAAAAACTGAGACAGGTCAAATAACAGATAGTGATGAAGAGATGAGTAGTATTTTTAATAAATATTTTGTATCTGTATTTACTAAAGAGGAACTTAACAATATGCCTTCAGCCGAACAAGTCTATGTGGGTGGGGACGAGGACAGGTTGACGAGTTTAACAGTTACCAGGGAGGATGTTCTTAAACAAATAGTAAAACTCAAACCAAACAAATCCCCAGGGCCGGATGAAGTGTTTGCCAGGGTGCTTAAAGAATGCAAAGAGGAGCTTTGTGACCCACTGTCAACCATATTTAATAAATCAATAGAGTCAGGCAGAGTGCCGGAGTTTTGGAAAGTTGCTAATGTGATACCAGTTTTTAAGAAAGGAGATAGATCACTTGCGTCTAACTATCGACCAATTAGCCTAACGTCTATTGTGGGAAAGTTACTCGAATCTATAATAGCAAATAAAATTCGTCTTCATCTTGAAAAACATAAATTAATAATTGAGTCGCAACATGGTTTTATAAATGGCCGTTCATGTTTAACAAATTTGTTATCTTTTTATTCTAGCATTGTTGAGGCAGTTGATAGTGGTAAGGATTGCGATGTTGTATACCTTGACTTTAGCAAAGCTTTTGATACAGTGCCACATGAAAGACTGATTAAAAAGATAGAGTCTCATGGTATTGGGGGTGCTATATTAAGCTGGATTAGGGCATGGCTATACCAAAGGAAACAGAGAGTTAGTATAAATGGAATCAAGTCAGAGTGGGAAAATGTTGTAAGTGGAGTGCCTCAAGGCTCTGTCCTGGGACCTCTGTTGTTTATAATATATATAAATGATTTAGATTCAGGTTTGAGTAGCAACATTTGCAAATTTGCCGATGATACGAAAATCGGTAGGGAAATTAATTCGGAGGAGGACTCGCTATCACTTCAAGTTGATCTAGATAGGGTTTTGAAATGGTCAAAGGATTGGCAGATGCAGTTTAATGCTGATAAATGTAAAGTTCTGAGGTTAGGTAATGATGATAGAGTTACAAGATACGAGCTAGATGGTGTTGTGATTGCGAAGTCGGATTGCGAAAGGGATCTGGGAGTTATGATTAGTAAGAATTTAAAACAAAAGGATCAATGCATAAATGTTCGTAATAAGGCAAATCGGACACTTGGATTTATTAATCGCAGCGTTAGTAACAAGACACCTGGTGTGGTTCTCAAGCTATATCTTGCTCTAGTTAGACCCCATTTAGATTATGCAGTTCAGTTTTGGTCGCCATATTATAGAATGGATATAAATTCACTTGAACGTGTCCAGCGTAGGATGACTAAGTTAATTCCCCAAATTAGAAATCTTTCATATGAAGAAAGATTAACAAAGCTTAAGTTGCATTCACTGGAAAGGCGAAGAGTTAGGGGTGACATGATAGAGGTTTACAAGTGGATGAATGGACATAACCGGGGGGATATTAATAGGGTATTAAAAGTATCAACACAGGACAGAACACGAAACAATGGGTATAAATTGGATAAGTTTAGATTTAGGAAAGACTTGGGTAAATACTGGTTCAGTAACAGGGTTGTTGATTTGTGGAACCAATTGCCGCGTAACATTGTGGAGGTGGGGTCCCTCGATTGTTTCAAGCACGGGTTGGACAAGTATATGAGTGGGATTGGGTGGTTATAGAATAGGAGCTGCCTCGCATGGGCCAATAGGCCTTCTGCAGTTACCTTTGTTCTTATGTTCTTATGTTCTTATGTTAAGGGACTTGTTAGGGTTCGTTATGGGACATATAGCTGTTTGGGTTCTTTTTGGCCTGAATCTGGTTACTCAGATCTTTACCAGGTTTGCACAGGTAGTTGTGACCTAGCAACACCGTGGCCTATCTCGACAGTTGGCTGATGTGGGCTTCCAGCCAGTCCACATGCCTGCAAGCCAGTAACCTTGTTCTTTCCGAACTTTCTGGGTTCCTGATGAACTGGAGGAAGTTTCAGTTGGTTTTATCCTAGGTTCGAACTTGGTTCGGCTTTATTTGGGATACCCAGTCGGCTTCCCTTTCTCTACTGTCTGTGGCTCTGCTCTGCCTGCAGTGTCATCTCTATCTGGTGTTGGACCAGTCTCAGATTACTCAGCGGCCAACCATAAGGACAAAGACCTATAGCTGCCGCAACAAGGACCAGGAACACACAGAAGGAATTAATTCTCTTAAATATAATTTCTTGTCATTTAATTACTAACTCTTAACTGATCAAAATAGTCAATTTTAAAAGCTTATTATATTAATAAAAAAAAGTGAAATTGTTTCAGAAAAGCAAGATTTTAGAAGGAACATGTCAGAAATACAGTGGTGAGGTAGACTATATTGTGGAACACTTGATATAAGCACGAAGGTTCTACTAAAGCAATAAATGTTATTTAATGCATGCATCCTCCCACCTCCCCTTCCCCTCCCCCCCCCCACTATGACTGGAGTCATGTCTCATTAGTGTGTTTACCAAAGTGGCTCATGCTGACCCCCCATACTGGCCAGAGCCATAGGCTGTGTTGCTCATGTGTTGATGAAGGTGGTTCATGCAAAGTCTCGCACACAATGTGACCAGTTCCAACCTCGGTAGCCATTTTGTTGGACACTGTCCCAAACGTGTTTCAGTGCTATCTTCCCTCTACCCTCAGTCACAGTGCCTAGCATTACTAGTAACAAAGGTTAGATTTGATATTCAGAAATGTACTGGTTAACGGTACATGAAAATAAGGTTTGCATATTTAGAAGAATTGTTTCTCATGTCTCCTCTTGAGCAAGTTCTCTGAAGTATCATTCCTATAAACATTTAGGTCCTCTGAATTGTGTATATGGTAGTGTGGCCCTTATGTGTAAGTTAAGGATGATCTTGATTTTACAAATGTGTGCAGCCAGTGTACTTATGTTATTTAATGGGTAATTTATGAAAGATAAAGCAGCAATAATTTTGTGCATTAGCATATAAAATAATTTTTAAATGATTTATTATTTCTTCCTAATTTGGGACCTTAGTTGAATTTTGACAGAGGCAATATTATGATGACCTTTTAAGTTAATTTATTTTATTGAACTCATTTACTAATTATTTTGGATACTTTGGCAAAATGTAATTCATTAAATTTGTCACAAGTAATTACCTAAGGGTAGTTACAGGATGAGAGCTATGTTCGTGGTGAAATATATTTCTTAGCACGAGATACTTTCCTGCTTCAAGATATATAGGTTTAAAGGTGTTTTATATATTTTATATTTTTAAACTAGTCACCATTAAAGTTACCGTAGATAGTGTTGTTTGCTTCATCCTTTGCCAATGTTTGTCAAGTTGTGTCATGGACTAGCAATACTATGAATGCTGAAGCTGTAGGTTTACTAGAGGAAGCCCCTTAAAACTCCCTGAAGCTATCATCTTCAATATAGGTGCCATCAGTCGCAAAGTTCTCTTGCCTACCAGGGACTCTGCCAGAACCTAGTCCCTTCACAGAGGTGCAGGTAGCCACAGCATTATATATTAAGTTGTGCCACTTATGCCAGCCCATTCCTGCGAGCATTTCCAACATAAAAAAAGTCATACTAAGGACCCTATCCTAACCTTCCATAGAACCCACGAGCAGAAAATAGGACATTATGTAAATTTCAAGAGCTGCTACTATTTTCTTGTATGATGGGTTGGGTACCTACATCAGAGATGGTAGCTAAAAGGAGTCACTGGGGCTCAACCAGAAATTGGCATACTTAGTTTACCGAGATTCCTGCTACTCTGTGAAAGATGGCCATTGCAAAGATGCTTTAGGGCCCGGACAAATATAACAAGTTGTAAGTCATAAATTTATATACCACAGTAAGTGTCTTGAGATCTCGGATGCCTTAGGTGATGCATACAACAATGAGGAAACTAAAGGCAGAGGCCCCTTTTACTGCATTAAACAATGAAAACTTAATAAACTTATGAATAGCAGGAAGAATAATGATGATGCAACAATAGATGAAAATAATGAGAATAAAGACAAATTAATTGACAAATAATAATAAAGGAACTACAGGAAAGTCAGAAGGTACTGATGAAATTATGGATTTTACGACAGCAGCTATGTTTTTTGTTTTTATCGCCATTTTTTCAATCTTTATAGAATTATTAATTTGTAAGCAAACCATAAGAAAAACATGAACAAAAATTATATTTTGTTGTTTGATTGGGTGGAGGCGCTATGCAAGGCTGCGCGCAGCACTTGTCAATGCCTGATACTCGACTTTGCTGACGATTCCTGTTTTATCCTCGGATGTTTCA